CAACATTGTTGAAATGCGCAAATATTGGCTCAAGTGGCGGCAATAAAAGAGTCGCTCCCTAGTGCCGGCTGGAAGGATTGGGGCCGGGGTCAAAGGGCGTGCTCATGTTTCCATTATGAGATGTGCTTGGCATTCTTTAGGCCCGCTTCTTGCTGCTCGAGGTGCGCACAATTTAACATTGAATTAGGCATGAATTTCTTGAGTTTTTTTTTTGTGTCGCAGTCAATTTCAATTTGCCTCGATTGGGATTCGAGCTGCGCCTGACCATGCCCTCGCCTCACCCCAGCCCAGCCGCCCACGCTTTTTGCATAATTGCAAGCGGTTCGTGTCAACGCCATATTTCACTGACTGTCAGGGATTTGGATGGATGCGCATAAAAATACAACATAATATAACATGCTTAACCCATGGCCGGGCTGTGCAGGCGGGGCGGCCGTGGCATGCTTGTGGCTTGTGTGGCAGTTAACTTTGCCGTGACATGTGCGGCAAGCATAAAAGAACCGTAGAATGTCATGTTTGTTGTGGGCCGAACATGACGTCGAGTGGACAACGAAACGATGACGACGGCATCGACGACGACGATGACGACGTCGACGTCCACGACGGCTATGACAGCTACAACATGTGACTCACACTAGAGCGGGGTGAACTGGGCCAGGAGAGAAAGGTGACTGTGTCAACACATTGGTAAAAGACACTGGACAACAACTGTTGTAGATTAGGCAAGGTTAGGGTGAGCTCCCCAATAGTTGAGGCTGATACGAAACGAAGCTAACTAATATTTGAGGTGAGCTGGTCTGGAAATTGTTTGAGGAGACTTCATTTAAAAGGCAATGTTTTCAATGTTTTCCATAGGGGTTCCACAATTCCAGGAATCCGGGTCTGGCACATTGAGTTAGGTTAGGCTTAGGTTTGTTTTCAAAATTGATTCAATTTCAGAAATTTAATTATGTTCGCTTGGAAAAGTTATAAAGGAAGAAAAATTTTGGAAATATGAAAATTTTGATATGAAATATGAAATATTATATATAATATATAATATATCATATATGATATATGATATATGATATATGATATATGATATATGATATATGATATATGATATATGATATATGATATATGATATATGATATATGATATATGATATATGATATATGATATATGATATATGATATATGATATATGCTCTCTGCTCTCTGCTCTCTGCATCTCTGCTCTCTGCTCTCTGCTCTCTGCTATCTGCTCTACTGCTCTCTGCTCTCTGCTCTCTGCTCTCTGCTCTCTGCTCTCTGCTCTCTGCTCTCTGCTCTCTGCTCTCTCCTCTCTGCTCTCTGCTCTCTGCTCTCTGCTCTCTGCTCTCTGCTCGCTGCTCTCTGCTCTCTGCTCTCTGCTCTCTTCTCTCTGCTCTCTGCTCTCTGCCATCTGCTCTCTGCCCTGTTCTGTGTGCCATCTTTGTCCCTTCTGCTCTCCCTGTCCCTGCTGCTCGCCTTTGGATGTTCTTTATTTGTAGAAGTGAGGTTATGTCAGGTTAAGTTTCTCAAGAACATGAACAGATACCAAAAAATGATTGTTTAACTGAGTTAACAGTAGCTTATATATAGATAAATCTCATTTTAAAATCTCTAAACTGCATGAATAAGAAAAAGCCTTGGCACTTTACACTTGCAGAAGTTAGTTTAGGTTGGCTAAAGATCCTCGAATTGCGCCTTACAACAACCAAAGATAATTAAGAATAATTTAGATTCAATTAACTAAGCGAATAATGCAAAATATAAGAGATTAAGAACTAACTGAATATTAATATAATATTATATCTTAGATCTTAAATTGATATTATATCTAAAGATATTTTCTTCCTTTTCTATAATTATTTTCGTAGCTCGGTTTCTAATAGAGTTTGTAACCTAAACTCTCTCTCCCTCTATAAGCAAGATTGTTTCTAAAAATATGGCTACAATTTGTCTATGGTTGTAGTCTGTCTGCAGCCTCAACCTTGCTGTGTAGTGTAATCTGTGGGGGTAAATTTAATTGCTTGACCGGCAAGAAATTTTCCAAACAATGTTCAGTTGGATGAGCTTTAAAATATGCGCCTTTTGTTTGCTCAATAAATGTTTAATTTTATAAACGTATATATACATATATTAATATATTATACATATAAATATATATATATATGTGTATGTATTAAATGTTATATTTCACGCACTTTTCACATTTTCACACACTTTGCTCGCTTTGCTTTGACATTTTGATATTTTTTCGATTTTCTTTTTGTTTTCTTTTTTGTCCCTAAACATTTAATTTGCGCTGCTTTTTTCTGCTTGGCAATGAAAATGTGGAAAATGTATTTTTAAAAAGTTCAGAGCAAGAAACGCGAGCACGGATTATCTAGTTTTTGTCGTCGTTGTTGTTCAGCTCTCTGCGCTGGCTGCGTATTTAAATTTAATTTTTTTTTATGCACTTTTGTTTGCGGCAAATAATTTAAAAATAATTGAAGACGTCGTGCGAGCAAATTGCAATGATTTATTTATGGGCGCAGTTGATAGATTTGATTTCAAATTGCGAAACGCGTAGCTGTGGCGACCCATTGAATTAATTAGGCTGCGATGAGTGGGACACTTAAGGCGTGGGAGTGAATGCCATCCTGGCGGCAGTGCCTCGTTCCTCGCTCGCTTACGAATTGACTTCTGCTCGCCTCCGCTCGTCATCTCTCGCCACATCTCGTCCTGGCCTGTCAGCCAGAAGCATTTTGCCCTAATTTTACTTTCTGCGATGTTATCAGGACACGCCACACACACACACACACACACACATATCTACACTGACAACGACAGCGACAAAGCCCACACACAAAGCGCTGAAGCATTTCCATTCCCAGTTTCCTTTATTTTTATATATAATTTTTTTTTTAAATTGGGCCCACCCACAAACAATGTCATAATTTACGCACTTTTTCATTTGTTTGTCGTTTAAATGTGCTGCATGGTTAACATTTTATTGGGTCCACGTTGGGGTCCTCGCGTCGTCGCGTCCTGTTCTGCGGTTCGCCTAATGAAACTCGAGTGGAGGAAACCTCAACCGAAACTGTGGCCGTGCCCAAAGCAACTGCCGTCAACTGTTAGCCGCCTGCCCAACGCAACGCAACGCACGTCCGTGCCGGGAAAAAGTCTACAACGAACTGCTGCCAGCGACAACTACGGCGACGTCTTGCGCCGGACACTGAGCAACGAGCACGGAATACGGCGCACGAAACACGGATTGCGTCGTCGGCGTCGCCGTCGTCGTGCGTTGCTGGCCGTGTCTATGGCTGTGGTTAGGTCGCTGCCTTCTGTTATTTATTTCACTCAGCGCAATCGGAGACTAAGAGAGACACAGCGAGTGAGCGAGAGAGCGCTATACAGAGAGAGGCAGCGAGCTGACGTATTCTCTTTGCTTGCGCACAGTGGGTTGCAGCGCTGGAGAATTGTTTGAGAAGGTTCTGGCATATATAGATATATTTGCGCATATATAGATCTATTTGGCTATAAATAATACAAAACATATATTTTGATTTCTAATTTGTCAATTGTTAGAAGAGATGCGTACAACTTGGGCAAGGTATTAGAAAGGCTAAATATTGGACCAAGTTAGAATGTTTTGAATATTAAATAAAAGCAAAATACTGTCAACTCATTTACATTTTTGAATATTTTAAAGGAAAATGTTTGAAAACAAGGAATTTACAGTTCTAATTTTTGAAAATTGAACTTAAATTTATCGAAGTCATTGAAAGTTTAAAACTTAAAATTTCAAATTCAAAATTTTATAATATAAATATTTATAACATTTCAAGCATATATAGGTTTCGAAGCTCCAACAATTTTACTCAGTTGCAGTCATTCGCAAAACAAAGGATATATTTTCGAAATCATTCGAAATTCCAGAAAAAATTTAGATGCTTACCAAAAAGATTTGAATACCTGGAAAAAGCTGCTGTTGAAACTGTGTTTAGAATAATTTCACCTGATTTGATCTGTTTTTAGTTTGAAAACTTTTCCAAAAAGATTATTACGAGACCTTATATATAGTGAATAGATGCCAAAGATTCCTTTGTACTGAAATCTTTTGCCTTAAGAAGGTTTTATAATTTAAGCCTTGCAGTTGACTAAGTCAGTTACTAAAAGCTCAGAAAATATTGAAAATTCTCTTGAATAATATTTCTCAATACGGAAATCAATTCGTTGCTTATAATCTGATTAGGCTTAAGGAATGACATATTTTGGCTGCTTTCAAGTTTTAGCTGTAAAAATTCTCTCTTAGAGTTTTCTCTTTTACTTACGCAGGCGCGCGATACCCTCTGCTTGTCTCTCACTCTCGCCCTATATCGCTCTCGCTCTGACATATGTTGTTGCTGTTCCAGCCCTTTTTGGGCGCATAAACAACAAACAGCCGCAGCTTGTAAAGGCGGCGCGTTGCACGTTTTCGCATTGTCTGTCCCAGAGGAGGTCGTGACTAGCCCTTGCCGGCGGCGTGCAGCTGGACGGCTCAACAGCTGGACGAGCGGAGAGATAAGCAGACAGTTCCCGCAAGCATTCACTCTCCCTCTCTCTCCCTCTGCTTCCCGCACGCTCTCGCTCTCTCTCTTTCACTATCGCTGTGCAGCTTGACTTGTTAAATTTTGGAGCATTGTCAAGCAGCTCCAGATGATTATAAGTTATATTGGCATTAGTTGTGTTTAGCTGCTTGGCAGACGACAGGTGGGTGCATGCTGAAGGCGGCACAGAGGGCCAGCGAGCAGGGCACAAATGTGGAGCAAGAGAGTGCTGAAAAGAGCGAAGGAAAGAAAGAGAGAGAGCGGGAAAGAGGGAAGAAGAGAGCGCGCCTCTGTTGACAGGCACTTTCAATTTTATTTGAGCGCTTTTGTGGGGCCAATATTGAGCGTTGCTCATACGCACCGTTGCACCGCCTGAAAATTTCACACATTAATCACACTTAATGCCAAATATATATTTAATGGGTTTTTTTTTATATTTTATTTATTTTACATTCCTACAATTTACACGAACGTATAATTTAAATTTGTTTACTAGCTAAGCATCAGCAACAACTTGAACGTCACCGAATTGTTGTTAAATTATGTTGAAATTTTGGATTCGTACAAGAGTTAGATTAATACATACACAGCACAGCATAGCACAGCAAAGCTCAGATGCCGTCACATACTTAACAACTAGTGTACACTACGCAACATAATAACTAACTTTGTTTAATTTATTTTTTTTTGCCAACTAAATGATGTGCTTTGTGTGCCGCATGTCGTATGCTTGATATCCTATATATACGAATATATTTATGTATACGTATATAAGCATGCTTCATATATGTTTATGCAGATGTGTATGGGAAATGTAGTCGCTCCATCAGACGGGCTGCACCTCGCAGACAAAGTAGGTCTCGAAGCTGCAGGGCGAATCGTTCCATTTCAGACCTTTGCCGTCGCGATTCCACAGCTCAAGGCAATTCTCCTCCTCGCCGTTCTCGTAGCGGAAATTGTTTGGTTCGCCGGCATTCCAGTTGGTGAACGTGATGGGCCGGCCCGTGGCCATCCAAAAGTAGTTGCCCTCGTCGGCCAGATCTGTGCCAGATATCCAGAAATGCTCGTGACCCAAACCTGTGGATGAGTTGTTGTGCGTTGGCAACACCGAAGCTTTGAGAGTTATAAATTATGCTCGTTTTTCAATGGATTAAGCTCTTTTTAACAGTCACTAATGGGCGTGGCAGCCCACCTGCCCACCTGCCCACCTGCCCATTCACTTTTCGAGTCTGATGTGGAAAGTGCAACGAAATTGAATGCCTCGCCGCATTTACAGTCCATTGTCCGAGTCCCCCTACCCCCGCCTCGCGCCCCAAGCGTTTTCCCTTTGTCAGCATTTTCAGTTTTGGGTTACCAACTTCCGCGTATTATGCACGCTAGAAAGTCAAAGCCCCCCGTTTTGCATTCAAAAACCAGTCCGAGTACTTGGCCCAGGCTTAGGCTATGTCATGACTTCTCTGCGTTCACTTACCAAAGTCGCGTATGTGTTTCTCCAGTCTATCGTTCTCTTCCTGTGATGAAATGCTAGCCAAGTGCATGCCATGGTAGCGACAATATTGCGTGGCTTTGAACCAATTTGCCTGCAAGTGAAAGAGGTGTTGATGAGTACTTAGATGTCAGCCAGAAGTATACCCTACAATTGTGGCTATGAAGTTTAAATACAGTTTAGAAACTGCGTAGTTCAAGTTTGAGCTGGCAATTTGTGTCAGCTGATAATTCAATATATTTAGTCTAAGTATACCCTGCAAAAGTAAGTTTTATCAAAGTATAACATCCACAAGTCTATGCTGCGTAAATGTATACCTCAGAACACTATATACCACAAGACTATAAACAAAGTAAACAAAAGTGTACCCTAGAAGTTTCTAAAGTATACTTAGTATATAAGCAGAACCTATAAAGAAATATACTATAGAAAGTACAGACCACAAGAGATCATCAGAGAAAAGCTTAACATACAAAAATATACCCCATAGGAGTAATAAATTAAAGTTGTCTATAAAAACTGTATAATCTTACATAATTTGCATAACTATTCATATTTGGCATTTGCTATATTTTTATTGTCTTCTTTAGAGAACCTGTTTTCTGGCCAACTGGTTCGAGATGAGCATAAATCGACTGAGCTGCAGAGCAAATATTTAAACATAAGTTAAACCTGATTTAAGATCCAAACATTTTTAATTGTTTGATGTTTGGCAATAATAATCATCAACTGCTATTGCTATTGACTAATATTTAAAAAACTTGCAATAAATTGAGCAGGTTGGCATGCTGCAAGTAGGTGTTCTCGGATGCTAAATACCCTAGCAAGAACGGATTCAATTTGATGTTAAATTTGTGCCTACCCCAGCTGAGCTTTGAGGGGTAGCAAAACTTTTTGGCAGCTGCAAAGAATGTGCCTAAAGAATTTTCTACATTCAGCATGAAATGCATGTCAGGTAAACGGGGCTCTTAACACCTTTGGCTAGGCCAGAGAATGAGCTAGAGTCTGAGGGGCTTTCTGTAGCTCATATGGCAAACTAATTGACTTCTAGGCGTCAGTGGAGCGTCCTTTTACAGCCGAATAAACACTTTCAGTAAGCGTGCCGCAAACACAACAACAACAACAACAACAAGGATGACAATTTTCTTCTCGTCATTCGCAGAGAGGAGGGCGCCAGCGACAGCGACAGCGACAGGATGCTGCGTCAGTTTGCGCTTTATTCGCGCACAATTACGGCTAATACAATTAAAGCAAAGTTAATGACGACGTCGATGTCGACATGGTTGGCAGACCGCAGAGCTAGCTAGACAGTGAAAGGACTAGAGGGCACAGGCAAAGTGCTGCACGTGGTAGTTGCGTAATCGATTTAGATGCGCATCACCTGCTGGTGGCAAAGCACACACCTACACACACACACACACACACACACACACACACACACACATAGAGCAGATAAAAATATATGTGCGAATCAACAGGCAAAGACGGTGACTGGACTAATGAGACGTTGCGAGGGTCAGGTGTGTAACCAAAAGCCATTAGCGTTAATTGAATATCAAATTGCAGTTATTGATATATTGATGTATTGATAGATATATATATATAGGGCTATGCAGGATATGGCAAAGCTAAAGTAAAGTTAGCCGCGTCCGCTGACTATCATCAACAGCTTTTGGTCACATCAACGTCGTCTCTAATTGGCAGTCGGCTTTACAGCGGCATTGCGTGGGTGGTTGCCACAACGACTAAGCCCTGCCAGCTGCCTGGTAACCTTGTTGCAAGCGCGCTGCCAGTTAAGCAAAAAACAAAAAGAAAAGAGAAAAATGAAACATAAAATGTTGACGACTTTTATGGACGCTCGTTGCAGTCAGGTGTGATGCCAAGTGGCGAGTGGTGTGGAGCGTGAGGCACCTCTGACTGTGGCAGCTGACACGGCGTTTAAGATCTGGATCAGTCATGCAATCGTATGTGAATTGTTAAACGCGTGTGTGTGTGTGCAACTCGTGACATGTGCCACATGTGGCCAACAGCAATTGCATGAAAGGATTGGAGCAGAATGATTGAATGTTTGCTCGAGTTCGATGGGTATTATGTAATTATGTAAAATATACAGCGAAAGAGAGAGTGAGTGAGTGAGAGAGCGTGAGTGTGTGTGTGTGTACGTGTGTGTGTGTGGAAATTCATTGCGAAACATCCGGCACAAAGCGGGCAAGTGAAAGACGTTGATGCCAGCTTATTTATAATGAATAACTTTAGACAGCAGCTAGAGGATACGAAGAGAATTGGATTAACTTAAGTGCTTTGCTCTGAGCTATAAACATTTTTGCACAAAGTGAATAATAATTTGTAACTCAAAATCAAAGTTTTGCTCAATTCACAGAGGCAGGTGAATTGCGTCTAAGAGCGTAAGGCAACAGCTAAGTAAATTTGTAGTCTAGATCTTTGATGCTGAGTTAGAAGCTGACGATGAGTAGGTAAAAAGTGAGCGCCGAACGATTTTCACCTATCTTCCACGCTTGCAAGCGGAAAAAGACATAATTTATGCTAATTTAAACAGGCTAAGATAACAAGATAAGCTTGAAGCTTATCTAATAAATAAGCAAAAAGTGTTCCGCATTCACTCTATCTTAGTTTATTTTCCACTATTGTATTCACAGTTGAACGTGAAAAAAACGATAAATTATTAACTTATATAACATATTTTGTTAAATATATTTGAAAATACGTTTGATGTTGATTTCCGCCTATTTTCCACACTTGTGAGTGGATTCTACACGATATACGATTACTGCATATAACATAATTTGCTAAATTTATTTAAATAAATAATTGAAGCCATTGCTGAGCGAGCAAAGCAAGTTCCATACCATTCAATTTCACCTATTTTCCACACTTGCCAGTGGAAAGTGGCAAATATCGCATTAACTCATATAAAATTCATTCTATGCCAACTTGGGACTACTTCTACTTCTTATCAGTGAAACCAATCATATAAATACATACATAGCATATGTATATAATTATATAGTTATTTTCTGACTGCCTAAGCAAATGTTCTCGTTCCACATTGAAGTCAATTAACAGCTCAATTCAATTAGATGGCAACAAAATGTTTGACACTATTTTGGTAAATGTCATTAACATATTGAATTCATGGATTGATAGAGTTGTTGCTTAATCGTCAACTAGCAACTGCCACGCCTGCTGAGGCGCGCCGCCTTCGCATAATCAACTGCAATTAGTGTCGCATTAAAAAACAGACAACGGCCAAGTCGAAGTCCGTTTGCTGCTGACTGGGCAGTTGCTGGCTGCTATATGATATTTCTTGGACTGTTCGTGCCGCAAGCAAATTAATTTTAATTTGTTTCTTTTTCAGCGTATTTTATGTGGCATTGCGTAATACACGAAAGGCGCAAAAAGAAACTAAGTTAAATATGTTAAATTATGCATAAGATTTACAGCGATTCTTAATTGGGAATTGAGAGCCATAAACAAGAATTTCTGAAGAAGTTCTTGCGCAACTTAATTTGTATTCGACTTGTTTGTACCGTTATGAGGTGAATGCTCTCTGCTCTGTCGATTCCATATTTTATTTGCTGCAAGAGAGCAACATGCTGTGGGGGTTTCTGTAGTACAACGCCACCTAATCAGCTATCGCACCTGCTCTTAATTAATGTACGCATAATGAATACAATTCACAATCTAACTGTCGGCATGCTCACAATAGGAATGTTTTATTTGTCAAACAGCCGTTCCGCGCCCTCTCCATTAGTCGAAGTCCTCATAAACAATGTGAAGCAAAAAAATTAATTACTTTTCTCTATGCTTTTTGACGTTGCCCGAGCAAATATATTTATATATATATAAATAAATAATAAGCCGATTTAATTGATATCATTTAAATTGGGAAGCTTGAAACTTAATTGCAAAATAGACAGAAATTGCACCGAGAACGTGTTTGCTGACTGCTCGAAGATAAAAAGGAAGCTTAGCTCATTTCTACTTTTAATTGGCGTTCCATATTAAGTATGTCATTAATTAAGCGATTAGCAGTTATATCGAACGCTTTGCTTGATACAAATTGTGCAATTTAAGGCCTGCTGAATGAATGACTCTCGATCAATGACTTCGACTGGAAATTCCTGACGATTCATGTGAACACAAGTTTTTGATCCATCAATCGCTCCCAGCTGACTCTGACCTTTGTATGTCATTTATAACGGTTGCTGACGGGCTGACAGCCAGGTGACTAAGATAAAAAGAAGCTTCCTCTTCAAATTTCAATCATCAGCTTTTGTTTCACGCTTAATTTAATTTGCCTGACAAATCAAGATTCCAGTGGCCTGGCCTAAAGTTCAAGGAGATTTCTTTTTTATGCATATGGTAAGCGTTAACAATTTATTGCGTTTGTTTGAATGCACAACCGTTGTCAGACATTTGCATACTTGTCTCTACTCTACTACTCATCAATAAATATAATAAAATCCAAATTTAAAAAAGCCTCGCCTCCGAGTCGCGCTAGAAACGCGCGCGGTTTGGGCGCGTTGTTACGCGCTCTACTTGTACGTTTATAATATGAATGGGCGCATAAATTATATGAAACATATATTAATATAATATTGGCCACAGAACCGCCGATGCGTGTTCCAGCACGTAATTTTACTGAATACAACATCAGGGCCGTCGCTGTAGTAAATATTTACTTAATGATCGCTCCCATGGCCCTGATATCAGTTCTGAGGCTGACGATATCAACAGTCAATGATAGCAAGCAGCTTGCCTCGAAAGGGCAGAGCTGTGACAAAACCTGTGCCAGAAGATTTCAGCTAACAGCTTGCATTACTTCATATCTCGACTCGTTTCTACACATACGTATATATTTATATATACATAGCTCTATCTGTTGCAAGCTTCTTATGCATATTGGCAAAGCCAGCTGCTAATTTAATGGCAAAATATGAACCGGACTGCAGACCGTTGAACCGTTGAACAGTTGCACAGTTGCAGCTCAGCAATTTGTTGTTGAATGGAATGCGGCTTACCTTGAAGAAGATGCCCAGGTAGTAGCGCTTCTCGCCCAGCTTCAGCAACGGCATCGTCCATTTGTTTGGCGTGTACTGCGACTCGTCCACGCAGTTGGGGCAGTCTAAAAATAGAAGCCAAGGAATCATATCAATAAAGAAAATATCTGCTTTATTTGTAAAACGGGCATCGAAAACCCAAGGTCGAAAAACAGCAAGTAAAGCATTGACATGCGACGAAATTGCAAATAAATAAACAATTATAAACAGTAATCTTAAATTATACAAGTTACGATCCACGACGATGCCAAATAATGAATACAAATCAGCTCAGTTAAGTCAGATACCATCAAAAGTCTATAAACACGGGTGACAATTACAAATCTGATCAATTTTAATTGTGTACAAACTGGAGAGAGCTCAAGTAGGGTGTGCTCGACTAGCAGATACCCTAAACGCTGAATTTCTATTACTCCAGGTTTTCAGAGGTGGAGAGTTAAAGAGTCGGACACTCGCAGGCATTGATCGGCTCATCTACAGATTCACATCAAGAATTTCAATCAAGTTCTGCCTGTTATATATATATATATATATACATACACTTGCACAAGTCGGGAATGCTCGGAATGGTCATTATCTATTTGTTCTGGCTATAATAAACACCTTAACGAAAACACTTATTTCATTGCATAAGCTGATTAGTCGAGCGTTCGATAAAAGTCGTATAATAATTATAAAAATTGCCATTTGAATTAAAATTTGGCTATAAAATAAGTAAATCTTAAGCCATGAAGAGGAAGACAAAAAGACAAAATCTTTTAGCTAATTGCGCACTCAGATTGAGTTATGATAGTTTATTTATTGATTAAAAACAAAAAAGCAATGTAAAGTGGAACTGGTTCGCTCGCTCCGTAACGAGTTGAACCTGTTCACGGCATCATAAGCTCGCACTGAGAATGTTTGACAATGGCTTTGATTTGCTGGCGGGATTCATAAATGAAGTCAAAACTAAATCAAGGTCAACGACTGCTCACAATAGATTCTGACTATGTGAAGGTCACAATGTGTGTGTGTAGGGCCAAGTTAACGGCTTTTGTGTTTCTTTTTTCTGCCGGCTAAAGCCCAGTCTAACAAAAGACAATAAACACGACACACAAATATGGCAAGCGGCAAACATATTCGCGAAATTTTGTTAATTAATCATCCGCAATGGCTGCCATTACGACCAAGGCCCTGCAGAAGGCGTCACTAATGATAATTATATAGAGTTGAATAATGGAACATAATTCTGCTGGCCTGTGAAGTATTTACATACAACTACAATGAATAACTGAGAAAATATTTTGACTACAACATAAAACATAATATTTATAATTTATTTTAATGTAAAACACATGCGAAATGTTGCAATTGACGTTGTGAATGAGCTCTAAAATGTTGCTACTTACAGTTAATGTCATACTTAGAGCTAAGTGAGTTTCACTTGCAAAACTAGGCACAACTTTAAGACTTTAAGATGCGGCTGAATAGGTTAATGTGTTCAGGCAGTTAGCTTGGACTTGGCTTGTGCGTCCATTAAGTGAAGGAAGTATTCACATTTCTAGGGCAGCAGAGAGAGTTGGAGTAGGAGGAATGCTTAGCTTGCCAATAAAAATTTCGTGCTTGGGCTGTCTTAGCTAATTAGATCTGAAGAAACTATAATATGTAGTAATATAAACAGATATGAGAAGCGAGGTGAAGGGTCTCTCAGTTAACCTTAGGGATGCTTAGTACGCATTGGTTATAGAGTTTGAAACTGCAAATGTCATTATATATACACGATAGTAGCATGATTTGAAAGAGACAGTAAGAAGTGTATATTTATTATTATATAAAAACTTAGCCAAACTTAATTACATGCTTAGCTATAAGCAAAAAAGCTTTGCTGTTAGTTTCTATAACACAGTCTTTGCTCTTTGTGAAGAATTTTTTCTGCCAGACTCTTTATATGGAGCTAAAGATATGAAAACTGTCAGAAAAACAATTTCATATAGACCAAAAGATATAGTTCTCAAAGCGGAGACGATTGCTTACATAGAGTTACAAAGATGCCTTTAAAATTAATAAAAGTTTTTAATGCAGAAACCAAATTTAATTTAAACGCTCATATAAGAGCAAACAACTTATGATGCCGGCAAGAAAAACTCACACATTGCAGCCTGAAGATGCAAAGATGAGCAAGAAGCTGGTGTACATATGTTGCTGCCGATCAAGTATATATATATATATATTTATATTTTATTGCAGAATTTATGGTCAGCTTGCACATAACGTGGGCAACTGAATTTCTCTTGAAGATAAACAAGAAGAAGACAACTTTCGATCAAATTGCATCATCGAACTGAACACGGATTGTTAATTAGCTGAGTCTAGCGGAACTCCCATAGTGACCGACCGGTCTTCGTTGCTTGCCAAGCAGAGGATCACACGAGACAGACAGCAAATTAAAGGTGCAAATTGATTAAGTTTGCAGTCAAACTTAATTTATTTGTGTTTGAAAACAAAAGTTTGACTACAAAATTACGGCTATTTATAAATAAACGAAGTCAATATTTATTATAGACTTTATGGTTTATTATTTATGTGCTGCTGTTGTGGCAGTGTCTTTAGCAGGCAATTAATTTCGAATCTGACATGCAAACCAGTTTCAATTTTCAACTCAGTGCCGTACAGTTGACAGAGAGGCGTGGCACAGGCTGGCAAAGTCAATGCCAATGCTTACACTAAAAATACAAATTTCCTTCTGAGAACTCGAGTCCAATTAAAACTAAATTATCCAAGGTCAGGCGAACTGCTGTGACGTGCCGCAAGTCGTTAAGCTCTTTAGACTATATCCTGAACATTGCTTAGCGCTTAATTTCACAGACTTTTGCTGACAAGCTTCCTGCACAGTAAATATATTTCCTTTTGTGTTTTTTTTTGTTTCATTTTTAAACAATAGAATCGTTAAACGTAAATTTAAATGTGACCGTTTTTTATGGTAACCAGTTTTCGACCGATTTATGTTTCCTTTCTGTCACTTGACAGCCAATAAAAATTAAAAACTATAAATAAAAATCTTCCTCTTTTTGTTTGGCTCATCTTGAAAATAATTTGATCAGTTGTCAAGAACCACACAACAGGTTTGTTGCTTGGCAGATCTACGTCAAATTGCGCATACGTCGTGTGGTCTACATTCTATTAGCTGTTGCTAAGTAATGTCTCTTCAATTCAAATATACTCTGTAATTGGCGTTACTCAATATGAGGCACATCTCAAAGCTGTCTTGGCTAGCGCTCACACAACTCTTTGTGGCTCTGCTACACCATACAATTTTCATATAACTTGTTATTAGCACTCAACTGTACGCTGCTTTTTGCTCTGTTTACTTATGCATAAATCTTGATAAATTCGCCAGATTGCTCTATTTACTTTATCCATCTGACCCTGGCCTTCAGTTCCGTTTACATTGCTCATTTGAAATCAAATTTATGCGTTGCTTTCAGTGATTTATTGCTGGCCTGTTGTAGGTTCAACTCTGGCGACAATCAAATATTTCGACAGGCCAGAAAAAAGCAGGTGTCACAACAACAGCAGCACCAAAACTCACTCAACTAATTCCATTGATTGCTCAAAGCAAACCTTAAACAACAAAAAATCAACATCAACATGAAACTGTAGCAAAGCGAATTAATCAATGGAATAACTCAACACGGCAGCTGGCGACGACAAAAAAGCAAACACAAACAGAAACAGAAATACGGCTGAAGCGTAAACAGCTCCTTAATTAAACGTTCGGCGTAAATTTCAATAAAACACAAATAAATAAATGCTAAATTTGGAAAGTGAAAGTCGATTATGCATAAGCAGTCGCTGGCCGGAAGGATGTGCCAGTGTGTATTATGCAATCGGACAGACTCTTTGGAGATGTGGGTTAAACGTACCAGCGACAGGACCTGCTGCTTTGCTCGGCGTTGCCAATGTCCTGTCCACGCTGCCGCTGAGCAGCTGCAGGGCAATTATCACAGACAGAGCCAAATATTTTTGCATGTTTCTTAGATTTCCTCGCTTTTGTTTTTGTGTTTGTTTTCGTTTTCGTGTTCGTTATTCGCTGCGTCTATATGAATATATATTAAAATATTTCTTTATTCAAAAATATTTGTATAATTTTATTATTTATTTATGATTTTCGTATTTTCTCAAATATTTTATTTCCAGTTATGCAAATCTGCACTTCCGTAAAGATAGCAAAATCAAAACAAAATTTCGCTGCCTTTGGAGCTTTTCAACGCATTTTCGTTCAAAGTTTATGAATCTGCTGCAGCAACACGAATTTACATATGAATTTATATTTTTTTGTTTACGATGCGCGTTTTATATTATATATAAATATATATAAGTCTTTCTTTCTTTTATCTCTTTCTTGTCAGCGAACTAGCGTCAAACGAAATCGAAAGTTGCCAAAAAATTCAAATCAAGACGGCGCACAATAATCGAAATATAGCCAAATATCGTTGAGATATATGCATTTAGTATAGCTGTATATATAGCTATATATAAATGTGTATTTATGTGTGTGTGTTACAAGACTTAGGGAACCGTGCGCATGCGCGCCCAAACTGACCGTCGACTGGCGAAGAACTAACCATTCGGAGCGCTTGGACGCCAACTTACGCAGAATTCATCAGAGAAACACGAGAGAGGGAGCGCGAGAGGGAGCAAGCATGAGAGCGTGCAGCAGCCTCTCTCAGTGCGAGAGAGGGACAGGTTCAACAGGTTGGCTCGAGCGACGCTGCAACTCGTTTGACGATGTTTTTTTTTTCTTCATAAATTTTTGGCTTTTCGGTGTGAATCGAAACGCTCTGAAGATTAGCATCCGAGCTGAGAGCTGCTGCTCTGCCTGTCAGTCTGTCCGTCCCTCTGTATGTGTGTGTGTGTGGACACTTGTTGGCGTCTGATGAGTGTTGAGTGGGGCCTGCAGCTGACACTTGACGCAGCAGCCGCAGTCGGAGTCGCAGTCGCAGTCGCAGTCGCAGTCGGCCCACCAAGGTAACCATCAGTGGAGCGTGCGTTAATTTTTTGACATGCCCACCATAAAGCCGAGCTTGAGCATGAAACGAGCACCTTAACCGAAAAACTGAATAAAAAACGAATGCGAATACCGCAACAAGCAAAAAGTTCACATTTCAAACAATTTCTGGTCTGTCCACCGCAGAGTTCTCTCGATTCTAAGATTTTGCAATTTCACTGAAACTTAACTTTTGTTTCTAAGCCAAGCTACAGGCTGTGTCTCTAGCAATGCCTTGTGTGGCAGATGCTTTCGATTTCACAGCGAGCCAAGTCATGCGGCTGACCTTGACAGCAGCTACGCTGCGTATACGTAATGCAAACGCTAAGCTGCCTGAAAGCTAAGAATTTTTATTTGAAATTTGAAATTTATGATATTTTTCTATATACATGAGCTTAGGTTTTATTAGTCAGTTCTAAATACGTTTGTCGTAAATGTCTAACGAGAAAACTTCGATTAGAGTAAAGATTGAAAGTCACAAGAAAATTCCAAAATATTTCGAAGCAATCTAAATAGCAAAATGATTGGAAATAAAGGGTCTTTTTGGGAAATGGACATTGGCACAACGCGGGAGGTGAGAAAGTGGACGCCACTTGTTGAATTTCTGGCCACTGCCATTCTAGTCTGTGGATTATTTCGTATATTAATCGGATTTCTAGTGTAAGCCCAGATGATGTTAATAAACAAATGAATACTTCAATGGATGTCGTTTCTTGTAACTGGGGATTTTTTCAGCTAATTCTTCAACTCAATAGAAAAAACAGGTTTATAGCTGCTTAATTATGGATCCAAAAAAACATTTTATTTGATTAGCATTTGGCATTGAAATCAGATTAAAGACACATTAAACTTAAAGGGCAATGCTCGAGTTCATGGTCAGTTCTTTTGTAATTAAAACTAATTTGAGCTGAGCTAGGCGCCATCACAATCAGGGCATGTCGGAAGTGTGGATCAATGCTAAGTTCTATAAATATTTACATCTGATCAAATAACAGCAATTAGTTCAGGAATTTATGCTTTGGCTATTGCCAGAGGCCATCTCATTTGCTAGTTATTTCCAAATTGATTTACGTAGATTCTTTGAAACGTGATTTTTGCAAAACGTGTTTGACAGCCTAGTTGGCAAACCTTCAATTTAACTGTCTTCAAACATCAAACACAAAACATTTTCGAATCTTATTGAAAGATGGGCAGCTAATGGATCACTCTAAAAATATATATTTATATATATATATATATATATATATATATATATATATCTTTTTAAATATGCAAATTTGTTTGGCCTTGTGTGGTAATTTGGTTGCGTATGGTAATATAATCGTAAAATATAATTTGTATGTAGGGGATTTTTTTAGAAAACTTGAAAGTTTGTATTCTGAGAAAACTATAAGCTATTTAACTGGATTTTGAAGCTAAATATAATAATAAAAATATAATAAATGTTAAATATTTTTAGTAAGCTGTTAAATAAATATAAGAAATATTAAAATAGATTTAAAAAAAAAATTTAGAGTTAAATGCAAATTAACATAATTATTAAATCTCCTTTTAATTTCTAATTGTTTCAAACAAATTTTGCGCATTCTTATGCAATAAATTTTAAATTAATTTTCTCTAGCGAAATTTCATTTGCATCAATACGTTAATGAATTAGACTCGCTCGAGTAAACGACATTAAATCTAAGCGCAAAGACTTCAAGTGATTCCCGTCGCGAGATTTATGGCTCTATTTTATCAGAAATGATTGTCACATTTAATTTGAGCATTTCAGGTGCCTTCAAACCCATTTCGATTTGCGATAAGAAAACAATGAGCTGCATTTGAAGCGACTTAGCTCTAACGTCAAAATCCGAATTGAATAGAAACCTAACTGCGGCTGCTGTGTGTGAAGGTGTGAATTCAATGGACAAATCGTACGATTTAAAGACACATCGAAATTAAATCAGTTGAAACGAGTTTCTGTTGACTATTTAAATGAGACAAAATATCGAATGAAAAAGTTCAATATTGTACAAGTGCCACAGATCGCATCAACTGCGATGGCGTTGGCGATGGCGACTGCGATTGCAAGTGTAGTTGGCTAATAAAAATGCTGTAGTTGCGTAAATGTAATATAGGCAGAGAAAACAAGGCATAAATTAAATGCAAACACTGCGCAGACGCTGCAAATGACATAAGAAACTGGCATCCATCATACGCCTCATGGGCCATGAACCGAAACGGCGTGAAGACGACATTTACCACAGCAACAAAACGCTTTTGTATGCAAATAAATGACACGAATAGCGACACAAAATAAAACTCAAGAACAGCTAGGGTGAGGCATATTTAATACTCTTACCGGGTCAGCAGCATGTGATATGAAGAGGCTTTAAATGCGTATAGGAATTGCGTGAGCTGTTTGCGCTGTTTCCTCACTTCTATTGAGCAGAGATTTGATATCAAATATAAGCTCATCACCTACATAATATGTTGGCTACAGTGCCTTTGCTCACAGTATGTAAATATCAACAGCAGCCACTTAAGAAACTAAAAGCAAGGTTATTAACGGCAATTTGATGATACAATTATTAAAGCGATCGCTGCAGCGTTTTTTGAATTTGTAATTTGATTGATAGTCGACGTTGTAAAGAGGCTCAAATAGAGCAGTTTCCCAGCAGCAGTTCACTTTTTTCAATTCCACGCTTGATGTCTTTATCATACGGATTATGAGCTTGATTAATGATTTATTTTAGTTTTCCAACACTATCGCCACGCACAGCTATCGATTACACTTGTTTGCTTGATTAATTGCTTTCCTTAAGTCTACCATCTCTAATCGAGATTTGACTTGATTGTTATTCGATTATTATACATTTCTTAAAGGTTTTATTGGCATTTTCCAACACTTAACGCTACCGATTACCATTGTTTGCCTGATTAATGATTTCTTGAGAGTTTTTTATCTCTAGATGCTAGCTACTTCAATTATAAGTTTGGAAAGCACTTACCGCTATCAACTTCATTCTCGCTGGGATCACGATGAAATATATTGCTATAATATTGATCGTGCTGCTCCGATTCCACGCTCTGCAGTGACTCCTGCACATCATCGTATTCGTCCTGCGGATTGCTATTCGCCTGTGACTGCTGGTCCGTCAGATCCTCCTCCTCATCTTCGTAGTTCATCTGCTGGCTACTTGAACTCGCCAACCGCTTGCTGGCTGCCACAGCTGCAAGACGATTGCGTTGAGCTCCTCCGCCGCTCTTGTAGCTGTCGCTGTTAACCGCGAAGCCGCGTGGACGAGGACCCGGGGACGTCTTCGGCTTGGGCAGTATATCCGCTATGGTGGGTATTTTCTGGCTAACGCTGCGATTGGGAAACAGTCGACGCTCCAGAAAGTTGGCAAAGATCTGTTGCGTTATCTGGTTCTGGCGTGCCAACTCGCTCTGATCCAGCTGAAAGTGATTGGCGTCGGTGCCACTGCTGATGTTTTGGTTTCTGCCTTTTCTGTTGTTGCTGCGGCTGTTGCTGCTGCTGCTGCCGGTGGCACCTGAAATTTGTTTGACGCACGATTAATCAATGTAATCACATGTGGGCCGCGGGCATTGAGCAATCCCAACAGGTGGTGAACGCTTGAACCACTTTGCTGGGGCAATTACATAAGCGCCGGGCGGCCCACACTCAGCTTGAAGATGAGTTGCAGAAAATTAAGTAATAAACAAGTAATAGTAGTTTAGTGAAGAGCGAGTTTGCACAACTAGCTAATACCCTATGGAGGAGATGGGGAGAGAGAGACAGAAGTTTTCCAGAGAGCGATTAAGATGCAACAAAGTTGAGTGACAGATCAGGATAGAGTCGCTATATATGCTCTGAAGGTGCCTTGTCTTACCACTTTTCATATTTACAGGGTATAAACACGTACAACCTGTATATATACATATATAAATTAAATCTTAAGGTCAAGAGTTTATCAAGTTTTGGCTTAACCAGTAACAGTGCTCTAGACGAGTGTGCTCGACTAGCAGATACGCTACACGGGAAGCCGTTAGGTGCATGTTAAAAGCCAACTTATTTGACCAGTTTTTGTAGCTAGTTCTGTGAGAACGTTTAAGGCTAAGACAAGCTATTGCTATGTGCATTAGCCACCCAAGAGTTTTAATGACTGTCTGCAGTTTGATTTGATAGACGTCATGACATTTTGCATTACTCGATTAAATGACACGCCTCAACCAAAGGTGTGACCCAGAGAAATATTGGGATGCCCGTTGCGGCCATAGCCTCGGGGTCGCATGCTTTGTTCAGCGATCATTAACTGAAGTTCCAGCTTATGAATTTACAAATTTATTTTTGGATTTCTGCGGTTTTTTTGGGTTTTCCGGCTTACTTTTTGTTTTGTGTGCCTTTAATGACAGATTGATCGTTTGCCATTTGGCAGCTCCGTCGCCCGTCCAACCAACGATAAGTGTGTCAAGGCTATCAGTCAGCTGCTTGGCAGTTGAACGGGTTGCGAGCGGTTGCAGTTCCAGTCGATGTTCCAGTGGCCAGCTCCCCATTCGGTTAATGAGTTCAAATTGCCAAATAATTGATATAAATGCCGTTGTAAACGGCGTTGACAAAGCGACATTAAAGGCTTTAACTGCTCCTTAACAGTTCGCTTGATGCATTAACCCCAAAACACAGCCAAAAAGATATCAAATTATAAATATATTGTCGTACGCCCATCAAAATTTTGATTGCTCGCCATTTCGGGTTTGTTTCACTAAATTTTATTATCGTCTTTTTGCGACGCCTTTACAAATATGTTTACCTTCATTAAAATGTGTAAAATGAGGTAAAATTTATTACGCAATTTATTGTCGTTGTTTCTCCTCTCATTTTTTTTTTGCCTGCGGTAATCATTTTTGTTTTCTACTGTTTTTTATTTGAACCCAAAAGTCGTCGTTTAAAAGTTCAAGCCAGCTTAATAATTGAGTGTGTTGAAAGCAGTTATAAGGGCAAATAAAATTCGAATTATAGCCACAACTTAAAGTACTGATCGTGGGCGAAATATTGAAATCGGGTGTGTTCAAGCTGAGTAGCTCATAAATCTTATTGATATATGATCTGACGGCAATCGGGAGAGATAGATTGGCTGGGAAGGACAGAGCAGCGAGAGGACAGTGTAATAGGCCATTAAGCTAAGCCTGCTGCAGGTAAACCAGCTTATATCTAGATAACACTAGTCTAAAGAAGGAAATGCCAAACTAGGGGATACCTTAACCATTTGCTATAGGTATTTGAAGAATGGGCATAATTTATTAACCTAACGATAATTCGATAAAGATTTTTAATGATTTAATGTAAATGGAAATAATTATAATTAATAATATAATTTTAAACAAGCATGATCTCATCGTGCTATAGAGGCACGTTTTGCTTGCTCTTAGACTGAGCTCTAGACTGTCAGAAGAGAGCTATCATGAGCAGTCAAGACAAGCCATATTTTAAATCAAAAATAATTGAATCTGATCTGAAATAATAGATTTCAAACTCAAACTTTACAAAGCAAACTTCAAACTTAACGACGATTTCTTGCCTTGCTCTTGGTTTCCCCACATAACTATAATTTAATATCGTGAAATCTCCATTTGCAGTTCAAAATTTAAGCTTTCGAAAGCAAAAGTAAAATTTCACATATCAGCTCGTTGCGATCATAATTACTAATTGAAAATCGATTTTCTTCCTCTTGTTCAGCCATTTAAGATACAATCTGCGTCTAAGTGCACAGCACTCAAAACCAATTGATAGCTGAGTCATCAATATTTGTATTTCCTTCCTCGTGGCATTAATTATCGATTCGGATTGCTGCACATCCTATGTTGTATAATTGTGCTCGACTAGGGGTCATGCGAGACGCAGGCACTCGACAGCCGGACGGGCGGACAGGCCGACAATGAAATCGCTCCAAACAATAGACTCTAATGGCAGTCACATTCGAGACCCATTGTTAACACGCATCTAATTGTTCTCAACGAGCCAACAAATCGAGCTCAATAATCCTTGAGATATTACGAGTATTTGTCGCTCATAATGAGCCGCATTTCAATTGCTGAAGGTGGTTTTGTCATAGTTGCTTCTAGCTGTTGTTGCTGGCGCAATTTACATGCCATTGTTTGTGCTGTTGACCAATTGACCAATTGAAAGTCGCTACGAAATCGTGATGTCCCAAATGCACAATCTAATCCAGTTGCCCGATCTCTAAACGTCGTTTAGCACGCAGTTTTCAGATCAGATTGCCTGTTGCATTTTTGGTTGCCGTTCGACTGGTCTCTAATATCGTGCAACGTGCAACTATGCAGCAGCAACAGCAGCAGCAATTGATGCCATAGCATAACCCAGTTCTGTTTAAATTGATGTCTATCTCTATCTAAAAGATACACGGCATGAACACATTGGCTAATTGTCGCTGGCCAGGCACATAAATCATTGAGACTTCGCGTCGAGGATGCTGACTGCAACTGCAACTGCAACTGCGACTGGCAACTGCCTTGAAAATGCTAAAGGCAGCAACAGCAGCGCAAATCAAACAGTAAATCATTTTGACTTGCATCTGTTGCAAATAACCCGCCAGCTACAGCGGATGATGTATTTGTATCTGTATCTGTATCTGTATCTCACAAACAGCAGAGTTGCTGCTGCTGCTGCTGCAGCAAAAGAATTGAGGGCCGTGTAATTGCCGCTTGGCTGAAAAGAGGTCAATTAGCAGCAGCAGCAGCAACAGCAGCAACAGCAGCATCTACTCAAGTACTGACTGCCCCACTAAAGAGTTTTGTTTGCTGTTGTGCAATACGCCACGAAAAAATATGTGCGAAAAATATGTATGCCAAAAATGTTTGCGACTTTTTATCGACTAAAGCCAGACAAGTCGCGCGCATTCCGTCAAACAAACACATGGAAAAAAAGTGCTTCAGTTTTGATTTGATTTCATTTCATTTACTTTTTGTCGCGATTACGCAATCGATGCACTCGTGATTAGACGCAGCACAAAAAAGGCAATACGCGGCGTATGCGTAACACAGCACCAAAGCGCATACGCCCCGTTGGCCGTGCTGCGGTCTGTTCTTTTGATTGACGCAGACAAATGTGATACACGACAGACGAACAATACACGCATTCAATGCCAGACACAAGTGGCTTATTAATGATCTTAAGTGTAGTTCTACGTCTGCCGCTGACTGAGCAGATTCCGAAACGTTAATTATAGCAGCACTTAAGAATAGATTTGAGCACATCAATAATTAATCAGCATTAGCATAATATGCTGTAAGACTTCAGCCTAAGAACTCGAATCCATACAATTCCCATTCAAAGTGACAAATTTATCTATAGAAATTCCTACAGCGATTGCAAAGCAGGTGCTTGAACCCAACAGAAGAAGGCAAAGGGAATTCGATAATATTTTAAAAGAGATAGAGACATTTATAGGCATATATCAAGTGGACGATCGCGCGATTAATCTCTATCGCACGCGCTGCCACAAGATGCCACAAGCTGATCGCAATATTGTAGTAAACTTATAAGTCAATAAACGCCCAAGTTTGAATACATTCTATCAATATAAATCTGCGCAAATTTGCTGATCGAATTCAGTCTATCGAGCTGCTTGTGAGGTCATCAGCATACCAAATGCAACAAGAATAACTATACGAAAAAAATATCGTATTTTTTATCTTTTTTTTTTTGTATATTTAATGGACTAACATATAAAGCTGCCAATGACATTAATAATATTATCGGCTTGCTTTGGGTTTTATATAACAGCGACAGAGCTGGTTTTCGGTTTTCGCAGTATGCGGAGAAAGACTTGAAACGTAGAAATAAAGGCGCATAATATTTTGCCTTCATTAATTAAGCGTTGATTAAAACATGATCTTGGGCTTGAGATTGTTTACTTTTTTCAAATAGACGCTAAGCCCATTAAAAGTTTATGCTCAGCCTGACGTTAAGGTCAATTTCATTAATATCTGCTTTCACGCCTCAACAGCTCCCATCCAAGGCAGCCCGATGATGCATGATATGCGAGAGCCTAGCCTAGCCATGCTATAAAAATCTATATAAGTAACAATCTCTCTCTAAGTGCAATCTTAAATATTGGCACAGGCATTGGCATGGATTTAGCCACTCGATGCCACTTGGCCAACATGCCATGGAATAGCTATCAAGTACTTACCTCTCTTGTCGCGTCCATTTGTGGCTGATGCCTCCTCCTTCTCCTGCTGCTGTTGCTGCTGGACAATCGCAATTGGTACATTGCCTCGACTGATGCTGCTGCTGCTGCTGTTGCTGTGGCTGTGACTGCGGTTGGCGGCTGAGAAGCTGTGCGGCACATTTCGCACAGGTGCTGAGAGGGGCGACGGCACATTTTGCTGTGCATTATTACCGGAATCGACACTGGCCAGCGATAAGAGCACTGTGAAGAGCGTGAAGCGTAGCATTATCATCGCGCGGATTGTGTAAGTGAGGTTCGCGACGGCGATGTAGACACGACTGACACCTGGCCGAGAGGTGAAAGCAAGCTATCAAGCTGCAGGCTGCACAAGCTGTGCTCTGGGCTCTGTGCTCCACTGAGCGTGTGTCGAGGGTGAATGGCTGCAATGAAGCCGCGATCTAGCTGCGATCTCTGCGTATTATAATGCTGCTCAGGCGCTTTCTAAATTACAAATGCATAGATGTCATAGATCCGCAGATCTACAAATTATGGATATGAGTTCACAATGGTTCGATCGAGGCGACGATCGTCTGTAGCTTTTGTTTTTGGTTCGGGTTGTTGATAACGCTTGTGTTTTTTTTAGTCTCAAAGCTTCTGTTTTCTCCTCCTATATTTCATGGCGTTGTGGAATAGAGAGCGTCTGGCCATTAATCTGCGCCTCCAACTTCGCTATTAGGTAACCGAGCGATCTTGCCTTGCCGCCTTTTTGTTTTTACTTTCTTTCCGTGTTGTTGTAGCCGCAGCGGTTGCGGTTGCGGTTGAGAGCGTTTTGTTTTGACTCTCACTTTAGAGGTTTGGCCTGCCGACTCTAGAGCTGGCCGTACTCAAAAGTGGTTCGCATTCGGCGCTGAGCTCTCGAACCGTCCAGAGCCTCGATCGTTGCTCCGTTTGTCGTGAACGTTGCGTTAGCTCTCAGCTTGCTTACTTACAGACTAAAGCGTTTGAACGCAACTAAAACACGTTGCGCACCGGAGACTTCTCTCTGGAGCCGATCGATCGGTTATGTTTGGGTCTGACACCTCGGCTCCGGTCAGCTGCTTCGTTTGGCGAGCGCGAGTTGGCCATTGGCTCTGACTCTCTGTCTCAGTCTCGCCTGCTATGGCAACTTGTTTATGTTGACCAAGACGCAGATGTAACTGCATCTGCGTTCCTAACCAGCTTCTTCTTTACTGACCTTTGCGTTGCACACATCTTCAGCTGGATAAAATGCGGTTTTTTATTACATGGGTGCAGGTGTGGCTGGGGCGGGTCTTTAAGCTGATTTCCACTGATCAAGCCAGATGGCCCGAGCCGCAAGACAAAGGTAAGAATTTTCATTTGCCCTTTGCCAAGGCCGCACAAGAGCTATAAATTGCTATAAATAACTGAGCCATGCTAATTATAATAGTCGTCATCATTTACTATTCAGAAATATAACGATTTCTGTGAAGACGTCTGTCGGCTCAGGGACTGAGAAGGCGCTTCACAAAGATTTGTGTATATCGAAAATTTATTTTTAATTGACAATTGTATTAAATCATTCATTAAAGTTGCCAGCCAAATGTCCTAAATAAATATTTACAATTTTGTATCCAGATGTTAGTTAACATACTATGGCTCGAAACCAGGGTCAACTATAATCAGTGGGCGGACTTTTCCTCTATCTAGCTTTATCGATACATCAAAGAATTTGACTTCTTCGGTGTCTCTATCTATAACCAGTCTATTTCTTCTTCTTCTTCTTGCCTTTACCTTTGCGCTTTTTCTTCTTACCCTTGGCGGCATCTAGCAACGCCTCCGTCACGTACGTCTCTGTTGTCACCTTGCTCATGGGCAAAGTTACCGGCTGCTTGGGCGTCCTTAGCTCAATCTCAATTGTGTTCTTCTTGTGCTGCGACTTGGATTTGCTGCCCAGCTTGACAAGGAACACATCGCTATCCGTTTCCTCGCATGTTTTATAACATACCTAAACAGAGAGAGAGAAAGAGAGAGCGACAGGCGGAAAGTTGGCAGATTTACAGCTTTGGTTTGACTTCACATATTTGGAGCTCTTGCAATTGGCTTAGGTGTGTGTCTGTGTGTGTGTGTGTCCGATTATGCAACTGGCTCTGTCTGCGGCAATTGAAAGCATTTAGCCACAGAGACTGTGAGGCCAAGTCACGGAACAATTGGACCATTCAAGTCTCGTATTCCGCATTCCAACATGAGCTTAGCTTATGGCGTGCAGCTTGTAGCTGGCATGGGTTGTGTGTGAGTGTGCGTGTGTGTGTGTGCGTGACTTGCCCCCTCACTTACCTCAATGCCCTTTTTTCGAGTATCCAATGAGACGCCTTCCATAGTGTGCTTAATATCCTTCGCCTGCACCTGCATGCAGCAGTTGCGCTTATTCGGCGAGGGCGGGATTGGTGGTATACACGGCAATCCGCCGCCGCACAAGCGCTTGCGATAACAGTCGAGATTGGCCTCTTGTTTATCGCACAATTGTGATCGATAGCAATCGACTTTGGCCTCTTGCAATTCGCATGCCTCCTTGATCTTGGAGAAGGGCACGTAATAGTTGTTCGTTTCGCAGGTATCGTTGCCCGAATACTTGATATTGGCGCGCACCTTCGGTATATTGGGATGATTGACAATACTGCCGCAGGTGCGTCGTTGTATATGCTTCCTGGCGAAGTCGCTGCGCTGGAGTATATCGTTAAGGCAGTTGTTCTCTGGGCAGTCGTCCACTGTTTTCTTATAGCATGGATCATCGCCTGGTCCCAAGTTGACTGTACTCGTCCCATCGTCCACGCTCTCGACTTTATGCGTATTTTTTAAGACCCGTATGGTCAGACCACTGCCATTGAGACACGCCTCGAACTCGTCATAGGCCTCGGGACCAGGATCTGGTATCGAAGGCTGTATGAAGCAGGGTTGTATCTCTGGACTGCAATCGCAGTCGCATTGGCACTGGCAGCACTCCTCACAGTCGGGAGCTACGGTGCAGGTGTTATAACTCCGTTCGAATGAATGAATCTATAGCCACGACTAACCCACCTTTTGGCATCATTGGTCTTATCATGGCGTCAGTGATCTGAATTGGGCAACTGACGCCCTTTTTCTTGCCCTTTTTGCCTTTCTTGCCCTTCTTTTTGGCCATCTTGATTGGATATGTTTAAGCAGTGGCAACTGAGCTCAGACTAAATTTTTATATAAATTGAAGATATGTCAATTTAGATATTGCTCTCTGAGTAATTTCCCTAAATCTTATCTGCGCGCTAAGGTAAACCGTTGTTTTTAGATTCCCCTCAAAACGAAATCTATTATTCATATATAGATATAGATTATATATCTATATATATATATATATATATATATATATATATATATATATATATATATATATCCGACAACCCAAAGAAATGACCTTCACATGCCCTTGCGTGGCCAATGCTAACGGTGCAATTGCTTGGGTCGCCACTAATTGACGACAAAGATAAAAGTGCTAAGAAAAAAAAAAGGAAAAAGAAATTACAAAAAAATTTGTTCTCTTTTTAGACAATAGAATATTCCGAATCGATTGTTGAAAATAAAATGAAATTTTTACCCCGGACAATTTTGTTGACTGACTCTTGACTCGTTGATACAATTTTGCTTGCCTGTGTCAAATCCAACTTTCAACGATTGCTTAGGCTTTTCGACATTTGAAAGCCGCATAACATCTATATAAATACATAGAGATACGACGAGAGTGAGAGTACTTAGATTAGCCACAGTTAACGGGGACCATCTTAGCCAGTTTAAGCAAGAAGTTTTTCTGCTTACTAAGCAAATCCTAAGCTAAATTAGCTACCAGAAACAAGCTTAGAACAAATCTGAACTGCGTTAGGTAAGCTTTCACACAAAATTGAATAAACATAGTGCTCTTATGGTCTATGGATTTATTGTCAACAACATAATTTAATACATGCATTTATTTCTTTTTCTTGCATTTGCGTTTTGCTAGCAAATTTTGACGCGACACGAATCTTGGGGGGAGTAGGGGTACATCGGCGCACTCTCCACAAGGCTTGTATTGCTCAACAATTCTCCTACACTGATTTGCACAGGGAACAGTGGGGCAGTCTGCGGCACATAGGCTTGGTTAGTGGCACAGTTAGGCTAACAGTAAAAACTTACCGCGTTCAAACTCGTCCTCACAGTAGTCACACGGACAAAGCTTATCCAAGTTGCACGCAAAGTAACGATAACCTTTTGTGGGATGCTTGCCGTCGCGCTCTTCTGGTATTATATAACATGGATGCTCGTACAGAGGGCGTGGCGCGGCGACAAACTTGTTACCCACCTTTTGCAGGCTCGAGACGATAGTGGGTCCATAACAGAGTAGACGTAATATGAGCACCATATTCCCCGTCTGCTGACTACAGAGATTAAACAAGGGCAACATTCGCTTCACGACTACGTGGTTGGGACACAGCTGTTCCAAGCGCCGGAATCCGGCATTGAAGCACTTGCATGTGTCCATCATGTCTCTATTGGAGTTCTTGATTCTGGGAAGGTTCTTCAAATTCTCCTGGCGTTTAGTTAGCCAGTCGGCGTTCTCTTCATTGAACTTTTTATCTATTTGGTCAAATAGCGGCTTCACTTCCATATCAGTCATCCCAATCAGAAATTTGCATCGATCTGTACGCTTCTTGTAGACGTGAATCAACAGTCGGTCGTCATTAGTGACGGGTCTATCCAGTGGAAATATGCTGCACTTGCCGCACTTCGGTTGTTTTGGATTTACGCAGCTCCCATACTCACGATCGCAGAGATTGATGTAGAGATTCGAGCGGAACGTGAACTCCACACAGGTGGAATACTCTTCGGGAGCGCAATGATTTTTGCGTATTATCACCAGATCATCGACGACAAAGTCGAACATATACAACAACTGTGGTACAGGAGGCGCAGTGCCCATCCTCAAATATTTCAGACCAAAAAGAAATATGTATGGGGGGAAATATGAATTTTGAATATTTAGCGAAAAACAAAATTTTGAGATATATTCCTAAATGGCGGCCGAAACATGAGTGCGACACAGCTCTCTATAGAACAGCAGGTCACATTGCAAGGCATGCCTGATTAACTAATATGGAACGTGTATTAGATAGTATAAAATATACAAATCATCTTTGACGTTGTCTCTATAACTTTATTATTTTCGTGCTGCATCCACAATCCTTCTGGCCACGGCTGCTGCCGCCGCTACTTGAAGCGGCTTGGCCACGATGACCCCGACGACTGTTCCTGATGCCTAAAGCAACTGGGTAGCAACTGGTAGATACAAATGGAAACATTAGGCCATTCTATCAAGAGTGGAAAACCTATTGCGCTGTGCTGCAGGTGCTCAGAGGTAGTTCCTTAGCACTCATAGCTGCGAGCCCCGCAGAGTTGAGCTCAGCAGAAGTGGAGCCTCAGTTAAGGTTAGCGCAAAGCGCTTGTGCAGCAATGCTTTGCGGCCGTATCGCAAGTAGAGAGTTTGACTTAATTTAAAAACGTAGCTTAGTTCATGGTACATTTATAAAAATCAAAAACAAAATTTCAATACAAACAATTTGATTTAAACTTTCAAAACATTTCCTGGCATTAAGCAGAAGTACTGTCGGATTCTCCGTGGCAGCCGTTGCCTTGAAATTCCTTTATGCTTTGGACCTTTCCCGGCAAATTATCGCGGGAAACGAAGGTGGGAAACACTGAAACGCCAACACATTCCTTACAAGGTTTCTGATACCTGACAATTCTCTTGGGAAAGACTTTCGCTGGTACAGTGGGACATTCTATGCGTAATAGAGTTATTAGGATCGGTCGAGTAGTGCGCACTATATTATATAAAACTCACCTCGATCAAGCTCGTCCTCGCAGATTTCGCAAGGACACAACTTATCGGTATTTTTAGCAAAGTAGCGATAGGCCCTTGGATGTACATGATCACCGCGTTCTGCAGGCGGAACATAACAGATGTTCCGACTGGGACGGCGTGGCGCACCGACCATCCTGGTACCCTTTTTATAGATCTCCGCTACGATACGGGGTCCATGGCAAAGTAGACGCAATAAGAGCATAATGTTGCCAATCTGCTGATTGTAGGCATTGAAAATGGGTAGCATTTTTTTCGAATTGACTAAGCTGGGGCAGAGCTGCTCCGCGCGGCGTCGTTCGGCGTCAAAACATTCGCCCATGTCCAAAACGTGGCTTTTGTTACTCCCGAATTCTGGCAGGTCAAATGAAACGTCGTTATCCAGCCAATTCGTTTCCTGCTTATCAATTTCATTAAGGTAATCAAAGAGAGGCTTGACTTTCATCTCGGCCATTCCAATCAGAAATTTGCAGCAATCCGAGCGCTTCTTATAGACGCTTATCTGAAGTCGTTCATCATCGTCGATTTTGCCACTCATAGGAAAGATGCAGCACTTGCCGCACATCGGCTTCGTTCTATCTAAACAAGCTCCATACTCACGATCACAAATGGTCACACAGACGTTCGAACGGAAAACGAACTCCACACAGGTGGGGTATTCTTCGGGAGCACAGTAATTTTTGCGTATTATCACCAAATCATCAATAACAAATTCAAACATATACAATAACTCCGGAGGATTAAAAGACATTTTCAAATGTTTGATCAGCAATTAAAACAGAACTTTTAATTTTGAATTATAATTTTGAAGTTTAATTCGAAATAAAAGCTTAGTCAAGAATGTGAGAGAGTTTCCATATAACATCAGCAGGTAGAGAGTACAAAGCATGCCCGGTCTTAAGTATATTTTCTTATATACATATCATATGTCATGTCATACGTCATAGATCATGGATCATAGATTACAAATCATAGATTATAGATTATAGATTATAGATTATAGATCATAGATCATAGATCATAGATTATAGATTATAGATCATAGATCATAGATCATAGATCATAGATCATAGATCATTTGTGATTTGTTACTAAACGAATTTCAATGAAAGCACGTGATCTACATATTATATTGAGTATATATGTCAATTAATGATACATATATATACATATTGTAAAGAACTAAATTGTATCTAATAAAAATGCAACTAAATGCAAAGTCTGTGGACTCCAGTTTCAAAGGCATATGGGATAAAATGTAATACCTAAAGTACCTGCTCGCCAGCTGTGGCGCTTCATATACACAGAGCACAGTAAACATACTGAATCATTTAATAGCCTTATATTAACAACACCACTGGCATAATCTCAAATTTCCATGTATAAATTATAAAATACAAAACTTGTTCTTTAAATCAAAATCTTAAGCATTGGTCTACTGCTCAGTTCGGAGAGATCGTCGTCACAGTACTTCATGGGTCCAGCTTCCCTCTCCCTGGTATGTACACTTTAACAAAGCCAGTAAATTCATCGATTTTAAGGTTTAAAAACAAATATTCTATAATTGTATTGTTAAAAACCTGTGGTTAGTTCAAATAATGGTGAAGCACTTGATGTGATGGGTTATGTCTAGTTTTTTAAACAAATTACATAGAAATTTTTTATTGGGGAATTTATTGAAATAGCAATCCTCCAGTGTGACCCCCAAATTAAAGCTTTATCATCGTAAATGTCTAAGCTTGCTGCGGCACTTGGCCCCTCTTCGAATCCCAGCCAATCACTTTGTGGCATGTCGGAAGTTGAAAGAAACATGGCTGGGACAACAGTTATTAGCAATCGTCAATCACAGGCAGCAGAACAAATGGCGTTCAGGGAAGAGTCAATACGAGTTCCGAAATGTAGACACATTTGTATTTAACTATATAAGTCATATGTATATTATATTGTTTTGCGATCTGCATTGCTCCATGTGCATTTTGCACTTTGCGCTTTTGTCTGTGCCTTTTTGTTGATGTACATGTGAGAGGTTATTAAACCTGAATGTTGTACTTGAGGAGAAGATGATGCAATTGACGTATTGCACGACTACGCGCTGCAAGTAAAGAGTACCAGTCAGTTATAGTCAGATAGGGTTTTAAGGGGGCTACTCAACCAGTACTACAGCAATTAGCATATTCGGGGCAACAATGATTGCAGCTGTCCGGGAGATCGGTACCATGTTGCGGGTTTTTATTGCAGCAACACGGTACAGATGAGTCATCACAGTACACTCCGCCGCCAGACTGACGTACTTTGCCCTTTTTCTTTTCCTTCTCCTTTTGCTTATCTTCTATCTGTTTTTCAGTGCGAGCCTGCTCGAAGTCCGACTGCTTTTGCAGTTGCACGAATCGGGGATGTTCTGGAACGCCACCACATGGACCACAAGGTTGCAGGCGTTGTTCAATGACCGACTTGCACGGTTGCTTACTCGGCACAGTGGGACATTCTATGTGAACACTTTCTGTTTAAAAGACAAACACTGCTTTGGGACGATCTGATGTTAGTACTTACCGCGGTCGAACTCATCCTCACACATATCACAGGGGCACATCTTGTCCAAGTTGCAGGCAAAGTAACGCAGGCACTTCTTGGGCTCTTCCTTTGGACGCTGGCAGGGATCTTTCTGAACGCAGCATGGTTGCGGGCAAGGTGGACAAGTGCCCTTACAGCATTTTTTGCCAGTATCCATAGGACCGCCAGTGGCGCTTGCCGATCCACCGCCGCAACAGGGATCACAGGGATCTTCTGGGCAACGTGGGGGATCGCAACAAGGCTTACTTTTTCCACAAGGTGGACAGGGTGAGCAGGGTGGAGGACAAACTGGATTCCGTGAACAGATTGAAGTGTTAAGTGGAAAAGAGGATACGAGTGACGGCCCATTGCAGACCAATCTTATGATTAACACAATATTTCCGGTCTGCTGTTTGCAGAGATTGAAGAGCGGCAACAGGCGTTTGGTTATCTCAGAGGTTTGGCACAATTGTTCGCGACGCTCATTGCCGCGATCATAGCAGGCGCAATTATCCAAGATTTCCCTGTTGGTGCCCTTCAGTTTCGGGACATGCTGGAGCTGTTCACTCCAAATCTTTTCCCAGTTAACATTTTCAGCATCGAAAGATTCCTTCACCCGATCGAAGATTGGTTTCATTGGCAACTCTGTCAGCCCAATCAGAAACTTACAACGACTCGTCTTTTTCTTATACACATGTATGAGCAGTCGATCCTTGTCCGTTACCGGCGCTTCCAGCGCGAATATACAACATTTGCAGCACTTGGGCGCCTTGGGATTTACGCAGGCTCCATACTCACGATCACAGATGCTCACAAACACCGTAGAGCGAAATGTAATCTCCACACAAGTAGGATACTCTTCGGGCGCGCATAAGTTCTGGCGCGTAATCAGCAAATCATCAATTACGAACTCGAGCATATAGATCAAAGTTTTGGGGGCGTAAATGTTGCTAATCTCTTTTTTAGATTCCATTCTGCGGGTGAAGAGATTTTATTCCAAAAATTTTGTAACTAAAAATATTTCATGTAATTTAGGCCGAGGTAGAAAATGAACTGGTATAGAGAATTGGATATACTATAGCTTTGCTAGTGAAACAAATGCCTGCTGAGTAAATATCTAATTGAACATTTTATTTTTTATTTTTTTGTAAATTTTCTTTGTCATTTGACACTGAAATAAGTATTCGTAATTTTTCAAACATTGGATAGAACGGATGTCGATCATGTTATGAAAATTAATTTGACTTAGTTTTCTTTTATATACATATATTATAATAAATTCAAAGTCTCCTTTTCCTTGCCCCGCCAGAAATAGAATTGAAATGCATTTATTTTGGGGTTTCGTTTATATCTAAAATCCTTTATTCAATTCCCGAAATTTTTCTACACAAATTTATTGAGCTACACGTAAATGTAATTTTAAGTGGCGCTGCTACGGTCACTGCCTCTGTGGTTGTGCCTTTCAAGCTGCTGTTACTGCTGCTGCTTCTGCTGTTGCAGCTGCTGCTGCTGCTGCGGCTACAGCTGGAAGAAGCCTAGTCACATAGCTAAGAACAAGTTTAACTAAAAAGCTTAATGGCAACAAAGAGGAAAGAGAAATAGGGCGTGTATAACACAAAATACATAGTGGGAGAGCATTAAATACAGGAATTTTGCTTCGTATATTTATTATATGCAGTGTCTTTCAGGGTGCCTAGAAGCAAGCAAACTTGGAAGGCCATGCAATAGAGTTGAGCGACTAAACGAGGCTAACGTCAGGCGGAATGAAAGGATATGAGTGGAAAAAGCTGCGGCCATTGCACAAATTCCACGCCGTAATGCAAAATGCCAGTGGCGCTCACAGCGATCATAGCACCCCAGAAGAGCATGAACAGCAAGTTTTCCGTATTGAATTCGGATGGATATGTCATTGTAACAACAAACATGGCTACAGCGATGATGAGTACTGATGGGAACATAAAGTACCGCCAGCCGCGTGGCGTTTCCAATGGCGTTGGCTGGATGACAGCATTGCTGTCATTGACAATGTAGTTACCCAAGAACAGATCAATACCATCCTGCCGCCTACCATCTGCAAAATTGTTCAAATAGTATCGCATTAGCGAGTTCTTGCCATCGTTAAGAGCACCGGCCTTGGTGCGTTTGCCGGTCCGGGTGAAGTCCGTTTTGAGAGCACCTGTACCCGAATATTGCACGGAGATTAGATCCGCATTGTCCGCCCAAATTCCCTTGAATAGCGACTCAAAGTTGGTGGAGGCGTTCTCGACAAGTTGGCCAACATGCAGCACACCCAGCTTTTGCAGAACGGCGGTAAGGGAGCGACGTGCCAGCATACTCTGCACCACATTGGTTCTGTCGAGGCAATCGACGCAGTTCGTACGGAACACACCCTGTTGCGTCGATACTAAGGCGCCATTGTCGAAATCATGATAGAAACCAAAGCTCTCCTGCTCATATGCGAGTCGATCGATTAGTATATTTAGTCGATTCCAACGCATTTTCCGACACTCATGATGAAAGTCAAATGGCTCATAACGCACTGAAGGATTGTCCAATTCGCGTACAAGTCGAGCATATATTGCCTCCAGCTCGCCCTCGGCTCCTTTTTGGTTTACCAAATTAATTGCCACTATGTTGCCATACAAGCTGACCTGTGCGTCGAAATGTGCTCTACATGCGGCCAAATAATCCTTGCCGGGTATCAGCCGCGGTTTGGGACTATAGCGCAAGGTGGGTAGCTGCTGCCATTGAAACGGCATGCTGCCACGAGTCTGGACAAAGCTTGTACGTTGTCCGTTGAACTCGACAATCTGCTCCGTTTCCACGTAGTTCGCCACTTGGCCCAAATCGTTACTGCCACGACAGAAGAGTCTTGTGCCCGCACGCTCCACAGATCTCCGGGTGACAATACTCCAGAAAAAGGTCTGCCCATTGATTTGCACTTGGTTGATCGATACAAAGCCTAGCATAATTGGCAACTGAAAGCGTTGCATATTATTGCATTTGAATTGGTCTAACACATAACGATTCCACACAAATCGTTCATCAGCACGTTGCAGCAGGCCTGGCGCCGCATTTGATGCCTTATTATTTTGTTGCCGTTGCAGACTCTGCGTCAGGTCGTAACGGTATGAGAAGTAATAGAATTTAGTGTCCAGCGTTTGGCGCAACATTTTCAAGAAAATGGAATTCTCTGAACGTTGAATTGCATTGGGAATGTAGGGTATAATATCGTAACCAGCCAACCGCCATACGATCGCATTGTTAAGAACGCCAACGAAAATGCGATGGGTTGCCACCAGCAAATAGTCGCAACTTAGCAAATGTATTGTGCCCAGGATTCCGCAGATTCGTCTTGTTGGTCGTTGATTAACCAGCTGTGTAGTCTTGGGCTGCACTCTTGTTACCTTATCCAGGCGGCCAATAACCAATAGCTCATCCTGTCCATTAGGCTCGACCACGAAGCTCTCCTGGGTTATGTACAGATTCATGTCATCGTATACATCATTCTCGCCCTCCATGCTGCGACCCAAATAATGCGAGCGCGCACCTACAATATAATACACATATCTGATAACACTTCCTGATATTGTTTTTGTTGTCGTTGGCTTACTGCTTATTATCAATAGTTCTTCCCACCGATGACGGCGCTCACACGCAACACACACGCACACAAACTCAAGCACCGGTAGCAGCAAAATGAGCAGCAAATTTAATACTGCTGTTCCTGTCCAGTTAATGCTTATGCCTGTTGTGTGTGCGATATTATTACCGACGAAGCTACTTCAATTTTAAATATACGAAACAGCTGCAAACATGGCAATTTTAATAAAACAAAAAAACTATTAAACGAGGTGACGAAGGCACAGGTACTTTCACACAAACACACTAAGGCACCAAAGCAATCGATGCATTATCGATAGTTTCAGCTGGCGCCATCTGTCATCTTTTTTTTTAAGTATAAGGGCGCGGAATATTTTATTAATACAAGTATTTACGAAAATATATTTAAAATTTCCACTGTACAAATTAAAAAAATTTTCCGACATCTTTTTCTTAACTCTGATTTAAAAAAATATTCATTGCATAAGACAACAAATTCACATATTTATATAACATCACAGTGTGTACACATGTGTCAATTATTAAGAACTAATTGCACAGTGTGTACCCATCTATATAGGTAAATATCTATTTTGTGCATCTTTCAAAATCGAACGGACGACGCGATTATTGAAGCGGCGGATTGTAACATTTTTCGTATTGCATTAAAAATATAACTAAACATTTATAAATTAATATAATATTTGCAATTTTGCCAACGTGAAATCAGTGTAGTGTTCATTGTACACTTACTAAACATATATAAATATATACGTAAACTACAGTTATTTCTAATAGCAAACGGACTTGGCGTCATTTTTGAGGTATGGATTTAACATCGGGTTCGAATGGCTCGCGCCAGCAACCACAACGGAAATCAAATCAAAATATTCAAGTCTATGTGCGCGTGAGGTGAGTTTTTATTTTTTCATATTCACTAGATATTGGCTATTTCTGATAATTGTGATATTGTTCAGACCGTTGAATTCGCGGGAACGCTGCATACGCTCCGCAGAGGTCGTGGATGTAATGCCACCACGTGAAATAGTTACACGCCATACCCTCGACTCCAAGTTGACCAAAAAATTTACGTTTGATCGCACTTTTGGTCCGGATTCGCGACAATGCGATGTCTACAGCACGGTCGTTGCACCTCTTATCGAGGAGGTGCTTGCTGGATACAACTGCACGGTATTTGCTTATGGCCAGACGGGAACTGGCAAGACACATACCATGGTGGGCAACGAGTGTGCCGAGCTAAAGTCCACTTGGGAAGATGTAAGTGAAATCCACAAGTAAAGCTGCGCCTGCGCGGTACAGTTGCGTTTAATTAGAATCCCTTATTGACCTGCGAAAACAAGTTTTGCCACTTTGTTGTTGACCTCGCAGTTGATGATATTCACTTCTGAGAATTTCAAACCTTTTTCTAAATTGTGCACGCCTCTATTATAGGACTCGGAAATTGGCATTATACCGCGTGCGCTCAGCCACTTGTTTGATGAGCTCCGAATGACGGAACTGGAGTTCACGATGCGCATCTCCTATTTGGAGTTATACAATGAAGAGCTGTGTGATTTGCTCTCAACCGATGATAATACAAAGATTCGTATATTTGACGACAGTACGAAAAAAGGTTCGGTAATTATACAGGGTCTGGAAGAGATACCTGTCCATAGCAAGGACGATGTGTACAAGCTGCTGGAGAAGGGCAAGGAGCGTCGTAAAACGGCCACCACACTGATGAATGCTCAGTCCTCTCGTTCCCATACGGTTTTCTCTATTGTCGTTCACATACGTGAAAATGGCATCGATGGCGAGGAGATGCTGAAAATTGGCAAACTGAATCTGGTGGATTTGGCAGGCAGTGAAAATGTGTCCAAGGCGGGCAACGAGAAAGGCATACGAGTACGTGAAACAGTGAACATTAACCAGAGTCTGTTGACTCTTGGACGTGTGATTACTGCCTTGGTCGATCGTGCACCTCATGTGCCTTACCGTGAGTCGAAATTGACTCGTCTGTTGCAAGAGTCTTTGGGTGGGCGTACCAAGACCTCTATTATAGCTACTATTTCGCCTGGCCACAAGGACATTGAGGAGACGCTCAGCACACTTGAGTACGCACACCGAGCCAAGAACATCCAGAACAAGCCAGAAGTCAATCAGAAGTTGACCAAGAAGACGGTACTCAAAGAGTATACCGAAGAGATTGACAAGCTAAAACGTGATCTGATGGCGGCACGAGACAAGAATGGCATCTACTTGGCGGAGGATACCTACAATGAAATGATGCTGAAAATGGATTCGCAGACACGTGAGCTAAATGAAAAAATGTTGCTCCTTAAGGCACTGAAGGATGAGTTGCAAAACAAAGAGAAGATCTTCAATGAGGTCAGCATGAGTCTCGTGAAGAAGACCCAGAAGCTCACTCGCACTGAACAGAATTTAACAGAGACCAAAGGCTCACTGCTGCTCACCAAGAAAGTCCTCAGCAAAACTAAGCGCCGCTACAAGGAGAAAAAACAGCTGGTCGAGTCGCACGTGAAGACGGAACAGGAGCTGACCACGCAAGCCCATCAAATCCTAGAAGTTGCCGACTTGGCTTCCAATGATACGCATCAGCTATTAGGCACCATTGAGCGGCGTCGCACTGTGGATGAAAAGATACGCAGCACTTGCGCGCAGTTCACGGAACGCATGCGTGACAATCTGGAGGTTCTCGATGGCAGTCTCAATCAATACCAGGAACAGCAGGCTGGCTCCACACAGCAGTTGACGGACGAGTTAGGTAGGCAATAGATATAGAGATTTGATTACTTTCTTGTTTATTTAATGTTTTATTTTCTTCTGCTTAGCCAACTGCACTAACGTACATAAGCGTCTGGTGGCCAATGCCACCACGAGCATCGATAACTTGCGTGCTACTTGCTTGGAGGCCTTGACAGCACATGGGCAGCTGCACGCACAGTTCACGGCAGCTATTGCTAGCAGTGGGGATGCTCATTGCCAGGCTCTAGTAGCACAGCTGTTGGAGCAAATGCAGCAACGCAAGACGCAGCTATGCGAGGATATAATGGGCAATCTGCAGGAGCTGGAGGCGAACAATGAACGGCACAAGGCAGCGCTGGATAGCATGCGTGATCGCTTCTCGAAAATTATTGAGTCCGATGCTAATGCACTGCAGCAGCACGTAAAAGTGATTCAGCAAGAATTGCGGCGATTGACAGCGATCAGTGCGCCGGATATGGATCAACTGCAACAGTTGCTGGCTGAGCTAGCCTATGAAGAGGAGCTGGCAAAGCAGGAGGGAGAGCTGCTGCAGCAGTTGGAACAATTGCAGCAGAAGCGTGCAAAGAACACAATTAGCATGGGCTCACGCGTCGGCCAGCTGAAAGAAACTCATGAGGCGGTGAATGAACAGCTCAAGCTGACTGGCAACAGCATGCAGGCCTATGCCATGGAGGGTTCGTTTTTAGCGCAATCAGCACGTGAGGAACTGTGTAGCCAACTGCATGCTGCAGTGCTGTGCATAGATCAAGGCGTTGCCAAGTGCTCAACGCTACAGATTCAGTTAGAGAATTTGAGCAAAGAGAGCGTCAAGCAGGCCGAACAAAGTATGCAAACGGTTCGCCTGCACGAGCAGCAAATGCGACAGATGTGCTCGGCCAGCGAGGAGCGAGCCGAGCAACTGCGTCATGAGCAACAGAAACAGCTTAGAACAGCCACCGAAAATATCCATAAGGTTATCTCGGATGATGTTAAATTGGGCCATGGGCATGATGCCATTACTGCCGATCTCATTAATAAACTTTCCATTCAGACAAAGCAGCATGCGATATTGCAGCGGCAACAGTTGGAGACTTGCCACAAAGACCTCTCGCACTTCCATCAGAGCGAGTTGAAAACGTATGCGCCCACTGGCACGACCCCATCAAAGCGTGATTTTATTTATCCGCGCACATTGGCAGCTACATCGCCGCATGAGGACATAGTGCGTCGCTATAGACAAGAACAGGACTGGTCAGATTTGGACACCACAGCCACTATCGATGAGGTACGTTGTGAACTTATTGTGCATTCCATTTGGATAACTAAATTTCTATTGCTATTGCAGTGCAGCGAGGGTGAGCCAGAGGAATCGTTGCAATCTGTGCAAGAACTGTCGGAAACGGAGACCATTATGAACTCCACGCCCATTGATCCTGCCGATGGAGTAAATATGAAACCTCGAGTTACCAGAAACGGAGCCAATGCGCTGAAGCCACCACTTGTCAGCAAACGGAGCAACTCCTTGTCAACTTCCCTGACGCCCAATAAGAGTTCTTCTCGCAATTCACCTCGAAATTCACCGCTTAGTTCGCCAGCCTTCAATCGGGTTAGCAAATACGTGCTGTTAAATAGTAAAGCAATTATAATCACAATCATATTCTCCTTCTTTCCGCACAGCACAACAAAGAGAATATGGCACAATAAAAGGGGACTCCAGCATCGCAGTAATAAGTCGCTAATTGGATCATGTCTTCTCTATTTGCTCGTTCCTTTTTATTATTAATTTTATTTTTGCATTTTATTAATTCTTGAAATTCTTATTAAATGTATTATGCACATATATTTTTACCTTAAATAAGCGCACCTGTACTACAGTGAATTAAATTAAATCTGGTATATCAACTGAAATTGTATATAACTTGTGGAATAATGAAATTCTAACCGTTTCGTAATATTTAAGATCATTCCCTATAAAAGATTTATTCGTCCTGCTGCTCATCGTCGTCATCCTTGAGTATGCCCAGGCGCCGCGCCACCTCCTTAACATTGGCTATAAACTCCTCCTGCACCAGATTGAAGCTCATGGCCAGAAGTGCGATGCCAAAGAGCAGATACAGCGAACAGTAGGCAATGGACTGCTGGGACTCATCCTTGACGCCCTTGTCGGGGACAAAGTCACCGAAGCCTGCAGCAAAAGTAATGCTAGTTATTGCTGTAAGTGGAATATTGATCAGCTGACAACTCACCAATCGTGGTCAGCGTAATGAAGCAAAAGTAGGCAGAGTCCAGGAACGACCAGGTCTCCCAGGCGTTGAAGAGCGCCGCGCCGCCCAGAATATAGCTAACTACGAGAAAGACGCAGAGCCAAATGGGCACTGGCCGATCTTTGGGCACCAGATCAAAGCTGTCGCCATAGTCGTCGCCGTACATTGAATCCTCCTCATCGTAATCGTAGCTGGGACGTCGCCTGATCTGGCGCTGCACCGGAAAGCCCATGGGCGACATGATGCGTGGGGAGGGCGGCAAACGGCGCTCGCGACGACGTTCTCGACGCGGCTCCCGTTCTCGATTGCGTGAGCCATGACGCACTGGATAGTCCTCGTACAGGTCGTTGTCATCGCACATGGACAGCTCGTCAAAGCTCTCCTCCACATAGTCGTCGTAGCGCGGCGAGCGTGCGCGTCGCTGTCGTTGTGGCGGGGCCGCGTCGTAGTCTGGCGGCTCAAGATGATTTCCATAGCGCGAGGATTGGCGGCCCAGACTGCCAGCACGTCGTCCATTAGGTCGCTGTTGTTGATGTTGGTGATGGTGTGAAGGTGGCGGTTGCGGTGAACGCTCTCGCTCCAGTTCCCGGTCCCTTTGACGCTGGCGCTGACGATGCGCCGACCTGGGCATCGATTGGCTACGCGGAGCATTGCGAGAGTGCTGCCTGCTATTGCTCAAATCGTCATCGTCCAGCGCATAACGATTGTGTATTATGGGTGTCTTGCGAACCACATCCTCGTCCACGTCTTCGTAGTGTGAGGAGATGTGGCTATGCCTTGGATCCACACTCTTGGCACGGCCGCGCCCTGGAGCCGAATGCAAGCGATGCAGCTCTCGGGAGGCACGCGTCTCCTGCTGCTGAGGCGAACGTACCGAGCGCACACTGGCTGCCCGCTTGGCCGGTGGCTGCATGTCGCTGAAATCATCGATGGAGCCATGTATGTGGTTTCTCGAGTGGCCCAGATAACGCTCGCGTTCCACAGTGTGTCGATCCCGCATTCTGTCCCGCTGACGCTGCCGGCTGCTATAGCGATTGGCTCGATTCAGCGTTTGTGTCTCGTACTCGTCGCCGTAGATGGTGTGACGCTTGCGAGGCTCATGCTGCAGTGGCACGTGGTATAGCTGTTGGCGACGTGGTCGTCCTCCATTGCCTCGATAGCCACCCCCGCCACCAAAGTCGCGATCACGCTCATCATAGTTCCGGCCAAACGAACGCAGCTCTGGGTCCGAGTAGGCATGACCCATGGAAGGTCCCAGTCCCGAATCATTGTTGGAGCGCTGCGTCATCTTCATGGAGCGCCTGAACGAAGGCGGCGGCTGAGATCGCGACGTTACACGCTGCGCACGCATACGAATCGATCTTTGCCGCGAGCGCCGCTTCTTGGACCGCCTGGCCGAACGGGTGCACACATAGCAGCAGATGCGCCAATAGAGAAACCTGCATGACGGACAGACAGAGCTGAACAATGGACACGCGAGCAACAGCGCGAGCATGTGTCAACTCACCGAAACGATGTGGCCATCACGTCTCCAATGTTTGACAGACAGAGCAGCATCAGTGGTATGCCAACGATGGCATAGAAGATCGTTGTCACCTTGCCCCAGTCTGTGCGCGGTGATATGTGGCCATAGCCTGTCCAGAATCGGAGTCGGGGTTACAGCCAGTCATGTCGAATGAGAATGAATGAATGTGACTGTGATTGAGTAAGCTTAATTATGTTAGAGGTAAGGGTTGGTTAGAAGGTTATATACCAAGCTTCCGTAAGGCTATTTCACTTACTTAACTCATTTCTTTTATCTTCAAAACATTAAATAAACGAAACTGCCTTGAACTCTAGATATTATGTATTAGCTTGCAAATTGGCGAATTGTAAAATTTCTTGGCATGCTAATGGGCCCAACGTGCCTAATCGACCTGCCTCTAGTAGGCCAATCTATTATCGTCTCCCCCGCGCGAGTACGAAATGGGCTTTTAAAGTTTTGCCGCTTGCGGAATGGCGGAAGTATTTGCTTTCGCATAGAGTCCACGGCTGATGGGCACTGGGTGTGGCGTTGGCTTAGACCAAATAGTCGAGCGACGCGTGGGTCATTAAACTCATAGAAGCCAAGTTAAGTTGTTTAATGCCATCTCCATATTGGGTATACTGTCTGAAAAAGTTCCCATCATCAATCTAAAATCTAAAACTCATCGCGTTTGACCTTGCGTTTGTTTTGACTGTATTTATAAAAAATGATTCTAACTTTTGATTTCGTTGGAGGTTTCCTGTCTCCCCCGTCCCATGAAATCAATTTCGGAACTGAAACTATTTTAGAGGTCATTCACGTGGACGCTCAGTGGGCCAGTCAACCTGTGTGCAACAAAGTGTAGCCAAATAAAAACCCAAAAATAAACTCAACCTATATGCTGCACGATCTGAGTGATAAGGCAATTGCTGCTGCAGCAAATCTGCGCTTGATCAATAAATTGACTCCAATTATACTCCACTAACTGCCATTAAACTGAGCTGTAAAATTTGTAAACTCATTTTAATTTCCAGGAAAATGTTTTGTAATCATCCAAAGTTACCCTTCATGGAGTCTAACCATCGTTTGCAAAGCGATCTCAATATTTATGCGATTTCTACGTGAGTATTGGGCACATGTCTCAATCGATTGCAGCAGTTCCTGGGCGGCGCGGCAAGCATTGATCGCTGATCATACAGAACACAGAACACAGATCACTGATCACTGATCATCGCTCACTTAGCGCTGATGAAGCGGTTTTTATTTGCGGTTTGGCTGCTTCTTGGGCATGGATGAATCAATACTAAGTACGTGGGCTGCGTGCTCGCCGATCAAAGCCGATCGCTGATCGCTGTTAAATACGGCGTGTCTTGTCGATCTGGCTGCTCTGTCTGTCTATCTGTCTGCCTGTCTGGCTTGTTTGCGTTGATTCATTAGCTGTTTGCAGTGCGGCACAGTGGGTCAGCTCATATGCTGATCGCTGTCCAATGGCAGCTGCAGTGGCTGGTACCACTGTGGCATGCGCCGTCCTCGCCCAGCCACACTCGAGTGACTTTAGTGCGTCGTCGTCGTTAGGCTGTCGTTGTTGTCGCTGGCTCGTTGTTATATAAGTAGCGTGTGCCGTTCGCATTGCCGAATTATTCTGTTGGCAACGTTATACGAGAAATACGGGTCAGTGTGTGAACCATCCCGAGCCACAATAAAAAGCACAAAGTTCCCATTGAAACGCGGTTAACAGTTGCACAAGTATGCGAAAACATTGCCTCATCGTTGTGCTGGCTGCCCTCATCTGCCAGCTGGTTAGTGTAACTGCAAGATCGGCAGATGATCATTGGGTTTGGCGCACCTACAGCAGACGAGAGCGCGCCTTTCATGACAAAGATGTCGATCGCAGTGCCTCCTTACGAAAGCCCAACCAAAATCAGCTGAAACGTGAGCCAACAACACGGCGGCCGCTGCCTGGCGAACCAGAGAACGATGAGATCGAGGACTATGTGGATGTGGAGCCCACAGTGACAACTTCGCCCAATGTGGGCACGCGTCAATACAATCCCTACGACGGTGGCAATCCCTATGGCGGATTTGGAGGGCAGCCAGGTAGTGGCGGCCAGTTTCCGGGGCTTGGCGGCTTTGGCGGCGGCAGTCCTGGTGTGCTGGTCGGACCAGGAGGACCTACGGGTATTATAGGCAGACCACCCGTCTATCCTAATGTCTACCAGCCCGGCTTTGGCGGCGCTCAAAACGGATTAGGAGCAGGCAGTTATCCTGGTGGTTTTGGCAATGCAGGTGCTGGTGCGAGCTATCCAGGAATCGGTGCTGGAGGACAAGGATATCCAGGAATAGGTGCTGGAGGAGCAGGATACCCTGGAATAGGTGCTGGAGGAGCAGGCTATCCTGGAATAGGTGCTGGAGGACAAGGATATCCAGGTGTGGGCTCAGGCTTTCAAGGGCAGCTCGGCGGGCAGCCTGGCGGCGGCTTGGGTCAGTACCCTGGCTCTGGCAGTCAGTATCCCTTTGGTTCATATCCAGGCTCCAACTACAACAATCAGTTTGCAACACAAGGCGGACAATATCCTGGGCTGGGGCAATATCCAACCAATCAGTACGCCGGCCCACAGTATACCGAGGGCTACGGCCTAGCCAACTTCGGGCAGCCGGGCTTGCCACCCACCGGATTTGGTGGCAATTTTGGTGGCTTTGGATATGACGAGAAGTCGCCCGCAGTGAATGAGGGCAAGAGTGCCAAAAACGTGGACCTCAAGCCAGTGCCCGTTAATGATAAGCTCAATAAGAAGATCTAGCTAACTAGTTAAGATCTAGAAACAATTCTCTCTCATAGCTTTCGTTAGAGTTTAGTGCTTAGGATTAGATTTATGTTTAATGCGAATAAAATTGTGCGGAACACTCACCAATGGTGGTTATGACTATGATCGAGTAAAAGAGTGAGCCGGCAAAGGTCCACTGGGACTTGAGCAGATCCTCGTCGCCATCCCAGCCGTCTGTCTTGATGGCCGTCATGATTTGCTTCTCAAAGTTGGCCAAATGCTTGCTCACATTCGCCATCCAGTCGCTCTCACGCAACACAATGGCATCGTCTGAGAGCAGCCAAATGCGCTCGGTGAGATTGAAGCGCAGATTCCGTATGTCCCGCTTGACCTGCTCAAGCATTACTATTAGGTCACTCTCTTCTTGAATACCCAGTGCAAGCTCTCACCTCAATCTCGTGCGGTCGTTCGAGGTGCTGAAACAAATAGGCGCCGCCCACACAATACGAGACGACGAGCAGCACGAGCAGCACATGAGAGACGATGCAGCTGAACACCTTCCACGAGACACAGATGGCAGTCACACAGCGTCCACGGTCCGGCTTGGCCGGCTCCAACATGTGCGGCGGCAGGGACTGTGCTCGCCTGCTCGACATGCTGATGCAGCTTTGCGGCTATGCGTCTTCCCTTGGCCAATTTCGCGGTTCGCTGCACACAAATTATGAAATTGGGAAATGGAATTTGAGAAAACCGCCGTAAATATCATAGTCGACTAAGGAATGCCCTGCAAATGCCACTTAATTGCAGTGAGAGATTATAGAAAACTCCAACCTAAAGCCAGAGAGCAGGGCAAGGCATAGGAATAGAATTCACGAAAACCGTTGACTTTAGCTTGTAGGACAACAAATGCAGGTGGGCAAGAAATGGGAATGAGAATGGGAAATCCCAAATCTCACACATGTTCATTAATATTTGTCTAAATATTTATTTAGTCGACTCGCACTGGCTGACTCGCAAGGTCGGGTAAGTGGTTTGGGGGGACGCAAACTTGCGGCTGTGTTTTATGGAAACTATTTTGGTAACAACATCAATCTCATCAACACTGCCAACAGACAGATGGATGGTGGGACGGACGGACGGACGGACAGACTGAGCCAAACAGCCAGAGCAAATGTCTATGAAATTTTTACTTTTCATAGTCTAAATACTAGCCAGACAGACGAACCATATATATACACATATTGAAAATAGAGAGAGACAGAGACAGAGGGAGGGAGCGAGGGAGGCAGCTACATGATATATACATCATGTCTAAATAATTAGTTTCTTTGATTTCATATGATTTCCTTAATGGGCAATTATCTGTTGAAATTTAATTAACTTGTTGGCTATTGAAGGCATCATTTACATTTATGTATGCCAAAATTGTTTGAACCGTACCGCACTTTATATACTTTTGTTTTCTTTTTTTCTTTTACTTTAAATATTTCCAAAAGTCAATTCATTTCTGCTTGGTGCGCACCGATGCGTCTAGACACTATGTAGCGATCCCGACGACTCTCCAAAGATTACTGAACTATTTCTCCGATCAGCGGCGATCGCCGATCGGCGAGTGGTTTATTTTAGTTGCTTGTAGTTTTTCTGTTCAGAATATTTTGGAATACTTTTTGTTTACTTTTTGGCACGCCTCAGTTCACTTGTTCTCCCGAGAACAAGAGCTACGACCAGCAGCTGATCCCACACAAAGGAAAATCAGTGCAGTCTCTCTTTCGGTTTTACGATAATACATATGTAATATGGCTTTAATATGAATCTCTTAATAATCTCATATCGAGCATTGTCAAATTTAGTAGCTTATAAAAGCCCAATTGCGCAGAATTGATAAGATATAGATATATTGCATATATAAACCTTAATGTAGTCTAGGTCTTAATCAACGTTCAGCTGTCTGAACGAACCCTCCAGTCCGAACAGATTCTCAAAGTCTATGGGCTTGCCGGGTCGCAGGTGCTCATCGGTGCCATAGTTTTGTTCCTCCGTCCAGTAGTTTCAGTCACAATGGCATCATCATCTTCATTCAGTACTATTTGATGCATTAGCATATTGGCTTTGTTAACATCGTTGAAGTGGTATTCGTCCGGGTTGTAGGCGCCCATGCGAAACAGGAATATGCGTGGTCCATTATCATTAAGTAGGCGTGGCAGTACTATGGCAGTGCTGCAATAGATCAAATTTCAGTTGCGAGCCCAACGAAATTGAGCCGCGACTCACCCAAGGCGAAACCTGGGCAGCAGCTTATCCACATCCACATTGTGCGCAAGGAAATTCTCCGGATACTTTGTGCGCAGCGTGTAAAAGCGATCCATTTTGGACTTGGTCTTCTCCAGGCTAAATTTGCAGCTACGCATGAAGTTGACCAGAAATTGATCATCGCCGCGCGCCCTTAAATGCGGCTGCTGGAGGATCCATTGACGCAGTGCAGCAATATCCTCCTCCAAGCGCTCGGGCACTTCGTTCAGCTCCTCGATGGCAACCTTCTGCAAGGCCGTACTAAGTGGACGTATGGAGAGCATGTTCAGCAGATCTGACAGCCAGAGCACAAATTAAAGTCTTTGTTAGGCGACGATCAATCTTATTGATTAGATAACAGGCAACGGCGGGGCCAGAGAGGCAGCAGAAGAGTGGAGGTGGAGGTAGAATCAATGTTAAATGAATTTATTGGCTATTTACAGAGTATAAAATTTAGAGCTCATCAGTCGATATCTAGCATGCGAAATGAGCCGTCCAGACCGAAGTAACTCTGGCAGTTTATGTTGGCGGCGTTGTCGTCCCTTAACTTCTCGTTGGTGCCAAAGAGATGCGATTGCTCGAAGTATTCACGATAGCTCAACATCTTGGACTCCATTTGCTCTATGATGTCCTGCATAGTGCCCCTGTCGCCTCCGTATTCCTTGGGCAAATAATCACGTTTAACATGCTCGAAGATGGCCTCCGGACTGGAGCTGACAGAGACCTAAAAAGAGGTCCATAATATAAAAGAGAATCTAATCTCATGGAGATGACTCACTCGGTTTTTAATCTTCGCAGGAAAGAAGGAGCGAAGTGAATTAAAGCCGGTTTCAAGCGACGCCGGCACATTTATGAAATGTATACCCTTCTGGCGCGTGGGCATGGCCTCATCCGCAAAGGCTGAGAATTTGCTAAGCAGCTGCGGCTGCAGTGCAAACAGATTGGCAGCGGTTACTCCGGTCATGTCCATGATTTCGATGTAGCCACTGACGTTCGCATTGTCGTCTTCCAGCATCATGATCTCCCCAAACATGGAACCCACTCGAATGATATCCTGGAACTTGAACTTCTGCGTGTCATAAGAGGCAGCACGTATAATGGTCACAGCCGGACCCGTGTCGCCCTCATCCAAGGGTATCCTTAGAATAACACTAAAAGAGAAAACTTTATTTGGGCATTACAAATGGACAGCTTGTGTGTCTACCCCATTCGAATGATTTCCAGCACCTGAGCATCGTCGGCCAAACGATGCTCATTGAAAACCTCAGGTATGCTAGCCTGTAGCGTGTAGTAGCGATCGATCTTATGCTTGGCCTTTTCCAAGCTGAATTTGCTGCCACGCAGAAATCCTACCAGGAACTGATCCGTGAGGCAGGAGCAGAGATGTGGCTGCTTCAGCAGCCAGTGGCGCAGAGCAGCAATATCTGAGGAGACACGATCGGGCACCTCGTTCAGCTCATCAATAGCTTTACGCTGAAGACCCGCTGGCAACGGACGTATTCCGACGAATTCCTGGCTACTGCTCATGGTAATCAGATGCATACTGACAAATCGATCAAAACTGAATTGTTCACAATGCAATTTTAGCAGGTGAAACTCTATTAGTATAATACGATAAGAAACAAAGTCAAGTATTTGAGCTAATCTGTCTATAGATTAGTTTTTGCCTAGATACGTTTTGTAGTTAAGATATTTTTGGATCTATACTATACTAATTTTTATATTTGCTATAAGAATTCGAAATATATCTATCAATAAACTTATCTTATATAATATATTTGAGTAAATATTATGTAAATGATTTTATCTTATTAAACTCATCGTGGTTCAGGCTTTAAGTTATCCACTTAGATGTACATAAGGGTTAACAAAGCATAGCTTTTTTAATGTTAATTAACAGGAGCAATAAAATGCGTCAGCTGCTGTTAGTAGTGAATATGTTCTTAATTACAAATATTTATTAGTTTCATTAATATTTATAACTAAAACAAGTACTTGAAATTATATTTCAAATAAACAATGTAAACTAACACATTTACTAAAATAAGAAGCAACATATCTTATCCAAATAGTGACTCGTTACATAGAACTCTGCGTTAACATTTACATAAATATCGGCCATCTCTAGCGTTTGGCAACAACATTGTGTGCTAACAGCAGCAGCAGACTGTTAGCTAACAGCACCCCACAGTAAGTTAACAGCGCCTTTCAGCAGACGCACTCTTAAATACAAATAGAAATAAATAAAATAATCAAAATTAAATTGCGCTATTTCGGTGAAACTGCTAGCGCACGTTTTAAGTACATTTAAAAGATCCAAATTAACTTAAGCACAGCGCTCCAAAACCGAACCCACGTGCGATTTAAATGCGTTTTGAAATTAGCAATTTCGAGACGTAAATTGCATTGCAATTCTAGACGGCAGCCGCATTGCTTAATTAATAATAAAACACAGTAAGTTTGCCAAAATATAAAGTGAAAGGTGTGTAGGGTCATGAGCTAATGGCGGCTGCAGCAGACAGAGGGCGTCGCAAATGCCACATGCTACGGCGGCAGCAACTAACAGTCCGTGTGGGTGGCATCTGCCCAGCGGGTGGTTGGGTGGGTCACATGCGCCCCCCCATGCGTCAAGGGCAACTACAGCGCGCCGCTGCAAGGTGTCGTAAGTGCCGCAAACTGTCATTCAACAAATCAGCGAATTTTAAGACTTTAATGCCATGGATCTTGCTTTCGCAAAAACAAATGCTACGAGCCGGGGCCATGATTCATCCACGTAGTAAATCATCAGATTGACGTAATGTGCATATGCAAATGAAGTCAACGTTTTAATTTTCGGGCTTTCTATTGCAGCTAACCCGTTTCAGAGATCCATCTAGGATGCAAAACAATCCCAGTCCACAGTTACCATGCAAGGGCATTTTAAAGACTTCTCGCAGCTTTGACAAGTCGGGTGCCAGGTGAGCGCAATCAACTCTGACCTTTTAGATTAGGCAAAAAGGCTGAACGACATCGGCTTTTTTCGTTATGCTTGCAGCTTTCGCAAAAGTGCCAAGTTCGATGAGCTCAATGTGCTGCAAACATTTCATCCAGTCGATAAGGACTATGGGCATATGAAAATCGATGAACCAAAAACACCTTACAACTATACGGAACCATTTAATGAGAACAAAGACGAGCTGGACACCGAGCTGCTAGTAGAGAAGTATATTGAATAGTCATACCGCTATCCGGCATTACCTAACTCGCTATATCCCATCACAGACTACGAATTGCGGCCAGTTCACAACAGACTCCCCAAAGCATTGATGACGAAGGGTCTTCCGGCGATGATCAGCCTATTAGCGAAGAGGAGCGACGTAATATGAAATACTTTACATCAAGTACATAGTCGTATATAATAATTGTTTCATTTTACAGAACGACGTCGTGAATTTGAGCGACGACGCAAGGCGCATTATCGTGAATTCGAGGCAGTTAAATTGGCTCGCAAATTGATTCAGGAGGAGGACGATGATGATGAGGATACTGATGTAGCGTCTGGCTCTATCGAAGCCTCCAGTTCGACCAGCTATGCGAGCTGCTCAAAGCAAAAGTCAAGTCCAAAAGCAGCCACATCCGCGTCCACCAATGCCAGCAATATCTGTAGCAACAACATGGAGCTGGAGCCTTCCCACAATTAAGAGCAATATGTAAAAACAATATCAAACAGGGTTCTAACTGGCGTTAATTGTTGATGTTAATCGTTGTCCGCGTTGGTGGCTCATCCGAAACTTAATTTATTGCTGCGTGATGAATTGAATTGAATTGAATTTACATTTACATTTACCCAGCGGGTCGGGTAACGTTCGTATATTTCAAAAAGCAGCCGGAGCAACATTGTGCTTTCCATCAATGAAAATATATATAACAAAAGAAATAGAAATCTATTGAAATTAAGCTGCAAGATATTTTACAACAAAAGTGCACATTATAAACTAATATACGAGTAAATATATATATATATAAATTGGTAGCGTTATATATAGTTGAATGCTTTTTTGATCTGATCTATTTATTCTCAGTTGAATAACTTAACTCAATCCTTAGACCAAAACTCCAAGCAGAACGCATTCATTTGCATTTAATTTTCAATAAGTGGAAATTTAATTTCTAAACACACACACACACATTACCACACTCACACACACACACACACACAAAAGTGCCACAAATGAAAAGTAAATAATAAGAATGTAAACCGAATGGGTAAAAGCGCATGGGAAAAACTTGTAGTTGAGTCTCGAACATGAAATTGAAATTGAAATTGAAATTGAAATTGATTTGGCCTTACGTTTAGTTATTTATTTTAACAAGAAAACCATATGTACTATTACTATAACTATCATAATTACGATTACGATTATTGTGTGAATATAATAGTTTTTTAGCAATACGATGCGGAAGTTTCAATAAAGAGCAATGTGAAAACCTTTGTAAAAATCACAAATCAAACAATGAATAGTCTTTCTGTGGGCTCGACTAGCAGGTACACCCTGACTACGTTTAATTCTGCTGTTATATATAGCTTAATCAACTCTCCTTTGTCCCACTTTCAAGGGTCTTCGGCCCTTAAAGAAAACACAAAATGCCGAAAGCAGTTTCTTCTCTCGTCGCGAGTATTCAAAAACTTGCCATTTATTGTATTTTATTTCATAGTTCTTTTTTTTTATATGATTGTACAGCAAATTGTATACATTAGGTAAGTCCATTTGATTGTTTCGACATAATTGGTTTTGCTTTTATTTTCTTTTGGGTAAGTCTGAGTGTTTTTAGTTTTCTTTGTTTCTTTATAGATCGTCAGCCGGGCGGCAACCCAGGCGCGCGCACAAAGCTCTAGAACTCCCCGCTCAAGTGGAGCAGGCAAAGGCATCCTCATTTGTTCGCCTGCCGGCAGAGAGCGAACTGCTATGCGGTCCTGTCCAAGTCGCCCGGCGACATAATTACATATTCAATTTTTAGAGTATGTATGTAACTGATAGACTCACTGAACCATCCAACTTAACGGACTATCGACATTTTTTTTAAATATGCTCGTTAACAATAAATTCGTAATATATATATATATGTATATATAACAAAAAATATAGACAAATAATCATGCAAACTCAAACTATTTTAACAATAAAACACAGCGCGAAGCAGCGCCCAGCAACACATCCAAAGCAAACCCAGACTGAAGATCTCATAAGTAGGACTCTATCGATTCAATTTACAGTAGCCCAAGGTACAGAGTCTTCAGTCGTGGTCCAATGGGCATGCCCCTAGGCGTGTCTGCTCCCCTGGTCTGTATGGTATATAAATAGATAAATCTATAGATATGTTAGTTCGTTTTCTTTAACATTTATAATTATAACAAGTTTTCATTTTCCATATCATATCCGTTTCATTTGCTAGGTCTCAACTTAAATGATAAATTGGCAACATAAAGGTTTGTATCTATGCTCCAATATACTATGTCTATATGCAGCCTGCATATAGCGCCCATATACCGAGTTCTGTCTGTGCTATGTTGCAGATATATGAGCTGCTACGTGTTAATAGAAGTGAAAGGCGTACTTCGTACCCTGAATATCGTTTCGTTGTGGCATAATTATATAAATAATGATAAATAGATAGGTAGATAGATAGATAGATAGATAGATACGTATATAAAGTTGTGTCTGTGTTAGTCAAGTTTTAAGATTAGTATAACAAAATACATATAGTTTTTGCTTTGGTTCGTTAGTCGTCGTTTTAGTAACATTTACATGATCGTATTATGTGAAGTGGGTTCCATTGATAAAGTTTCTTTCTCCATTTGCTTGCTGAGCTCTGATTGTCGTTTGCTTAGATTCCAAACATGTGCTGGGTGCCGGGTGGCACCTTATAGCTTGGATAGGTGTTGTTCAGCTGATGCTTGGCAAAGAAGGGTGTGTAGTCCTGTTGGATGTGAAAAGAATATGGTAAATAATATATATATATATATATATATATATATATATATATATATATATGTGAGTTGCTTAGAGGAAGCTGGTGCTCTAGGGTTTACTTACACGATTGACTCTACGGGGACGGCAAACGGGGCCCAGCGCCAATAGGCGACGTTCCTCGTTTTCGCGCACAGCAGCCTCCTTGTACTCCTGTGGTGGCCATTTCAAATCTCCGCGCAATTTGCTGCCTCCTGCAAGCAGAGAGATAATGCGAGTTATTGCAGTTCAGCTGGCGCTGCTGCTGCTGCTGCTTACCCTGATAGCTGACGGCGGCAGGCTGCGAAGTGTAGACTGGCGCTGGCTTCTGTGAGACGGGCGCCTCCTTGCGCAGCGTTATGATGCCAGGACTGGCGCCACGATAGCCATGCTGCTGATCAGTCTGATCCAGCGAGTAGGGCAACTGCTGCTGCTGCGGCTGCTGTTGCAGTGGCTGCTGCTGCTGCTGCTGCTGTTGTGGCTGCGAATAAGAATTGTATTGTGGTTGAGCATAGTTAGCGCCACCATTTTGCTGTGGATAGTTTGGTTGCTGGGCTTGTTGATAAGGCGACGTCTGATAAGGTGCCTGATATTGCTGCTGCTGCTGCTGCTGTTGCCACTGCTGTGGAGCTGGCTGCTGCTGCTGCTGCTGTTGATAGTTGTTGTAGGACGGTGCACCATATTGCTGCTGCGCTGGTTGCTGTTGTGGTTGTATAGTCGGTGGTGGCGGTGGTGGTGCATGCGAGTCATGGAGTTTCGGGTGCCAATCGAGACAGAGGTTATGGATGTTGTTGGTGGTTTAGGTGCAAGTGCAACAGTGAAACAGAGACACAAACAAACACAATAAACATACGCCGGAGTAAAGAGAGATAAGAAAGACAATTAAAGACTGTTACAGGTGTGTCAAGTAAATTAGCAGGAGTTCGTGGTTAATTAAATCGTTTAGCATTAGAAGCGAGTCGCAGTTTACAGCTGAAATATGCATAGAAGAAGCAGAGCAGAGAAGAGAGAAAGAGTGAGAGAAGTGCGAGTACTAAATGTGAGAGCTACAAGCAACGCTTAGGTATTTATGTATATGTGAGTAGAGGGATATATAGAGATATAGAGCCTACGTGGCAGTGTTAGAGCTTGGGCGTGCGGCCAGCTGCGTGCACTGAGAGAAATGGGACCAAAAGCCTTGCTTCAAGCAAAAGTTTCGCTGTCAGCTCAGGCAGCTGCCGGCACGCCTAAGCGCATTCATTAGGTAGTTAGTGGCTGGGGCAAGGGATTTTCAACTTTTTGTGTGTAGATAGACAGCAGCAGCAAAAGTTTCTTGCATCGGGAGCCAAAGCCAAAGGCTATAAATCCATTCAGCCAAACGGTACCTGCTGTTGATATTGTTGTTGCTGTTGCTGTTGCTGTTGCTGGTAGGGCGCAACGCCGCCAGCAGTGAAGTCGCTGTGAGACTTGGGCGTTGGTGCACCAATATGCTTCCAGCCTCCAGCAACGTTGCCTGCGGCACGATGTGGCTGCTGTTGCTGCTGTTGGTAAGACGGCTGCTGCTGCGCAGGCAACTGTTGCTGCTGCTGCTGCGGCTGTGGCTGTGGCTGCGATGCATACTGCACATCGACCGTTGGCTCCCGCGAGGGTTGTCTATTGAACTGGGCCTGCGTGTATTGGATGGGTTGTTGTGGATAGTTATAGTTATTAGCTGGGGCAGCAGCAACTGTTGCTGGTGCCGCATAATTAGTGGTTGGACCATAAACATTTTGTGCGGGTTGCTGGTGTGGTTGTTGTTGTTGATGTTGATGTTGATGTTGTTGTGGTTGCTGTAGGTGTGGCTGGGTTCGTGGCTGAACGTTGTTATAAATGGGACCCTGCAAGTGGGCAGTGAGTATTCTTTGTTAGCTGTGTGGGTGGGTGGGTTGCTGTGGTTGTGTGTGTGCTTAAGTGTGTGTGTATATATATACAGTAATGCCTCACCAGATACCCAATGACAAGTGCAGATAGAGTAACAATTATATTTACAATTTACACAGTATTTACACAGATAACTCTAAGTACTAAATCGAGATATTTATATACAGTCATGAGCTTGAGTAGGGCTGGCAGCTGGGCTGGCTTAATTACCTGAGCTGGTGCAGCATTCGCGCTGCTTGGCTGGCTGGCGGCTGGCTGTGGGTAGTAGCCACCGCTGCCTGGTGCCGGGCTTTGCGTCTGGGGCTGTGGCGTGAACTCGCGCACGATGCGCTCCTCAGAGGCCGGGGGCCAGGCGACGCGCTTGTAGCCTGCGGGCGGAAAAACAGGGTGAGAACAGGTATAACGACAATATGCAAGTGTGTGGGCGGCGACTGTATGTGTGGGTCGCCAAATAATACATTCAACATTCAACAAAATGCGGCCAACACGCGCAGCGACGTGGGCGTCGCTGGCCTTGATGATGCACACACAAATAGAAGACAAAGAGAGAGAGAGAGAGGGGGGGAGAGAGGCAGAGTGGGGCGGGTGTGGTTGGTTGTTGGGGCAAATATTAAAGATTCTCGCTGGCTCAGTGCAAGACAAACAATTTGAAAATGATTTAAGCCAATTAAAAATGTACAATATATAGAGAACGAAGCATATAGCTGACTTTTCGAATTTCAAATTTCAAACTGCAAATCAGAGGCTGCTGTCATTGTGTCTAAATTTAGCTGACGATTCAAAAACAAAGAATTTGCAGCGGCAGCAACAGCGCCAGCTGTGACGCTGATAGAATTGACACATACGTGCAGGCGTGCGTGGGCGTTGTTCGTGCAACATGTTGCTGTTGTCGCTGAACCAAACAGTAGCAACAGCAACAATATGAGTTGCTATGTTGTTGACTGCTTTGTGGCTGTCACTGACTGTTGCTGCTGTGAGTTATTGATGGCAACCGCAGCTGCAATAACAACAGCTGCGTAGGTGTTGCTGCTGCAACATGTTGCTGCCATGGGATTGCAGCAAAGGCAGCAGCAGACATCACATGTTGCTGCTGTGCCTGAGTATTGCTAAGAGCAATGGCAATAGCAATGCTAGCAGCAACAGCTGCTGTGCAGGCAACATGTTGCTGTTGCCGTTGCAGCAACAGCAATGGCAATGACAACATAGCAAAGCTGTTGCTATTATGTCTCAGTGTTGTTGTTGTCGTTCATTGCAGGACCAGCAATAACAACAGCAATTCTGATGACAGCCAGTGAGCAAGCAAGAGCTGTTGCCGCTGTAGCGCCTACATCGAGCTGCAATTGCAGCAGCAACAGTTGCTCTGAGCGAAATCAGTCGAAATGAAGTTCAATATCAATATGCAATGCGTTTACCCTCCATGTTCTTATAGTTCTGGTTAATCAGTCTCCACTGTGCGCCCATTCTGCAGCTGAGTTGAGTTCTCCTTGCTTAGGTGTTGGCTGCTTAAGTATTTATGATCGAGCGGCGCGCGTATAAATAAATATTTTTTTGATATTTTCGCAGCTTTTCTGATTTTCTGATTTTCTTTTCTCTTCTTTTCTTTTCTTTTCTTTTTTAATGACTTTGTTGTTGCGTATAAAATAACAAAAAATATCTGTGCGTGGGTGTGTGATCCACACTCAAATTATGATCTTTCTGGTACACACAGACGCTGAGGAACCGTTATGTAATAACAAGTTAATTAATTGATACGTTTGATTAGTGAAGGTTGCTAGATTTTGGTTTTGCTTTTGGTTTTTAGTCGGAACACCACAAAAAAGTCGTTTTCAATTTCAATTTTATGCAAATTAATTGGCAACAGCAATTCGAGCTGGCGCGCGTTTCGTTGAATAATTTTCTATATATTTTTCTAATTTTGTTATATTTTTTTTCGTCGATTTTCGATATTGATCGTTCGGACAAAAAGTTCAAAAAATCAATTTGAATTAAGTTTCTATTTCTATATCTATTTGCTAATTCGTTCGCGTTGGCCGCGCGATATCTGTGTGCCTTCGATGTATGCTACTAAGTGAGCAGCGCGCTAAATGCTCGGCAAATTATTCAACCGATCCGAAAGCTAATCCCCACAATTTCACACATACAGAGAGAGTGAGCGAGAGAGAGAGAGTGAGCGAGAGAGAAGGTGGGGGTGTGCGAGCATAAGGTGTGAGAATTTTTGCAAAATAAAAAAAATAATAAAAACTACTTTTGTGCGCTTGCTTAAGAATGAGCTGCGCTAAATACACGCAAATTAAATAGCTGTTAATGATGCTTGGGCCTGAAGCCACCCGCCACCCGCTCCTGCTGCCCGCTGCTAGCTCCTCGCTTCCTCGCTGCCTCCTGCTCGCACCTGATCTGCTTTTCTGCATTGTTTACACCTTCGATTTTTGATTTGTGCCGCACCTTGGCTACTTGGCAAGGCCACGCACACAGCTATATTTTGCACACATTGCTCAGCTGTGCTTTAAATATAATTATATAAATCGCTTAGCAATAGGAATGGATCGTGGATCATATAGCCAGAAGAGTGCTTGAGTGGGCGGCCAACAAAGTCAACTCAAGTCGCCAAGTCCATGGCATAGTATACACAGTCTGCGCTGTCTGTGAGTCAAGTGTATCTGCCCTATGACTAGTTGGCGGGCTAAAATTAAATGGCCAACAATAAGCGAAACAAATCTGTTTTTAAACGTATTCGCACAGGTGTACGACAAATGTTGGCTCATTAAAATTATAAAATAAATGCAACAGATCGAATAAACATTAACAAATTGTTGTCTTTGCGCTTGTTAAGCAGGCTTAAGTACTTGATTTATGTGTGCCTCTAAAGGGGGCACTTGCCTCTCAGATAGCGTAGTTTATGTTATTTCAATAGCCGACACCTTGTGCTGCGTGTGACCTAGTCTGCGCCTTGAAGCCACCTGGCTAAATGCTTGAGATGTGTCATTATTTCGCGAAATCTCTTTCGATCTGCTGTCGACTGTCAATTTTGAGCTATCCTATAAATAACTATATACATAATTAGTTAGCTCTCTGCTGCAATTGGTTGGATACGAGCAAGAATTTGAGGTACGCTTTGAAGTGCCGTCGACTGATGATGTCTTGGCAAAAATTGTATATCAAAGCAAAGCAACAATGCTTTGTGTACCCTGTGGGTAGGGTATATAGAAGTAGGGTATATTGAAGCAAGCGTGAGCATTGGCTGCAACTGAAGCTGAAGCTTAAAGCTGCTTAGTTACATATGAATGGCTTAGGGCCAAGTGGAGTCTATTATAAGCTTTAGTCAGAGAAGCCTAAAATATCACAGATATATAAACACATATTACAGGGTATCTTTCCGCTTAAAACACGCTCTCTTCAAGCTTCGACAGGCCCTACATTTATATGCTACAGGGTATCTTAGAGTGTCGTCAGCTGCAAGCCACAAAAATCCTCATTCACAGTGGAGCTGCCTTACAGTTTGACATGCACTGCTTGCAGCACTTTGACAGACATTGAACACAGAAACGACATCGGACATCGGACAGCACAGGGTTGGGCAACGCACCTTCAATGCCTATATAGGGGCGTGGCGAGACATTGTCGAAGGATCGATTGACGCTGCGCTCGCGTGGCAGCTCCTCGCTGCTGCCTGCCAGCGACTTGAAGCCGAGATGCGCCTCGCGCTGCGCATCCAGGCCCAGGCCGTGCTGCATGAGGAACTCGAAGGGCGGCGGCTGTGAGTTGCAGCGTGGCGTGGCCGGCGGCGTGCCCGCCAGCATGGAGGACGAGGCGCACATGCACTGCTGCAGTGGCTCCGTGGCCGTGTGCACCAGCAGCCCAATGTTGTGGCCTTCAAGCTGTGGCACATGCGTGTACTTTGCCTCCCTGGGCGTGGGCGTGGAGGATTTGAGCTGCACTGCATTGAGCCCAAAGGGCGAGCTGCAGCGCTGTGCGGTGTCTATCAGTGGCGCAGGATACTTGCGCAAGGGCAACGGACTGGGCGAGCGACTCAGCTGCCAGTCCTTGGGCTGAGTCGGAGCAACAGTTGCTGTTGCTGCTTCTCCTTCAACTCCTGCTGCAGCTGGCGTGGTTACAATCTCCACCTCGCTGCGTTGCCGATGCAGCTGCTCCCTCGGCTGCTGCTGCTGCTGCTGCTGCTGCGGCTGCTGTGTCTCCTCCCAGGAGATTTGCCGCGAGATGTAGGGACTGCGTATCTCGTAGGTGGACTTGTAGTTGGCCAGCGACTCGTTCTGCAGGTTGTCGAGGCGCCACTGATCTGCCTTGTTGAGCTTGCCCCAGCCATGCGGCGACTCGCGACACTCGCCACACACAGCGCACCAGCTGCCCACCTGCTGCGTCTCACCTGGCTCGTGTGGGCAAATGGGCGTGGCAGTCAGTTGATCGTTGAGGCATTCCTTTAGCTTCTCCTCCTGCTCCGTCCTTAGCTGCTCCTTTTGCTGCATCTTAAGCTTCTCCTCCTGCTCTGTCCTCAGCCTCTCCTCCTGCTCCGTCTTTAGCTTCTCCTTTTGCTGCTCTCTTAGCAGCTCCACCTGCTCCAATAGCTGCTGCTCCTGCTTCTTCAGCAGCTCCCTCAGCTTCTCCCTTTGCGTTTCCTTTTGCATTTCTTTTAATATTTTTTCCTGCTCCTCCTCCACCTCCCCCACCTCCCCCACCTCCTCCTCCTGTTGCTTCATTGATTTCACTTCACTTTTTGCATCGGCTGTCGTCGATTGCTGCTGCTCCTGACACTCGACTGCACTGCTCTCCTTGTCAGCCAGCAGCTCCTCTGGCTGCGTGGCCTTTCGCTTCTCTGTGGCTGTGGCTGTGGCCGTGGCTGCTGCCTTGCTGCCCGTCGACAGCTGCTCATAGTTGGCAATTACGTCGGACACATGTCTGTAGTCCAGGCTAAAGTCAGACTCGTGCTCCTCGGCCGCCTCCTCGATGAGTACGTGCTGTGCCGTGTCAGCTGTTGGCGTTGTCTTGTGCTCCACGTGCCCGTCGCTGTCCAGCGCAATGGCAATGCGATGCAGATCCTCTAGAGCACGCTCCACAATCGGCACGTTCTCGGCGGGCATGGCAGCGGGCTCCAGGCGAGGCTCTGGGCTGTCCTGCTGCTCCTTGGGCTGCAGTTGTATGCCAGCTGCGCGGCAGTAAATCTGTCTTAATATGGCCTGCAGAGGACTCTCCACAGCCAGGATGGGAGATTGCCTCGACGCGAACATGTCCCACAGCTCGTTGCTGTGGCTGCTGCTGATTGGTTTCGGTGGTGCAGCTGGTGCAGGTGGTGCAGCTGGCTCTGCTGCAGGCGTAGCTTGCGCTGTGCGCTGCAGCGCAGTCTTGGCGTTCTCCATATACGCATCAATCTGACGCAGATGCTCCGCTATGGACTGTTGGATGTGGGCATACTTCGCCTCGAGCTGCGCGATCTCCACATGCGCCTCGTGCTGCTTGACCTGGCTGGCAGCCTGATCGTAGACGCCGCCCTGGCGTCGTGCCTGCATGTCCTTGGCCTCCTGCCGCGACTTGGCGCGCAGCTGCAGCAGCGGCACTGCGGGCGGCGGCGGCGGCAGTGGCGGGGGCGTGGGAATGCTGCTGGGCTGGCTGAGCTGTGTCTTGTACCTGCTAGCGCTGTCCTGGCGCTGTAGCTTAATGCCGCTGGTGGCGCTGACATAGGTGGCTGGCGGTGCGGCAGCGTCGTCTGGCATGTTGCGTGGCTCCTGGCCGGGACTCGGTGTCGCCTCGTGCACGGTGATCGGTATAATGCGTTCGTTGCGCGTTGGGGCATCGAGTGTAGTTGCGGCCAGGGCCAGCGCCATTTGCTGCTGCTGCTTAAGTGCCAGGCTGTCAGTTGACGTGGATCCCTTTCTTGGCAAGCTCCCATTGTGCGGCCTGGCAGAGGCAGCTGCTGCTGCCCTTTCGCCGGGCGTTGCGGGCAGCGGCAACGTCTCCAAATCTATGTCAGCTGCTGTCAGCTGCAGATTGGCCTTGGGCTCCTCCTCGCTGTCGCCGTCGTTGGCGTTGTCTGTGTCGTAGCTGATCCTCAGCTCGGTGGCCAGCTTGATGCTGCGCCGTTGCACCTTGGGCGTGCCACTGCCGCTGCCGCTGCCGCTGCCGTTGCGCGGCTTCTGTGGTGGCAGCTCCGTGGCAGCGCCCGCGGCCACAGCTCGCTTGCGAGCGCGTCCACGATCCAGCGAATACGATTGCCGCTTCAGGCGCGGCCGATAGCTGCTCGCGCCCAGCTTTGCCTCGGGCGTGGCGGGCCGTTGCTGCGTCAGCTGCTCGTAGTACTCACACTTGGGCGCGACCAGGCCGAGGTCCGCATCGGCGGCCTTCGTCTCGGGCGCCGAGAAGCCCTTGGCCTGTGCTGTGAGCTGGCAAATGCTGTCGGCCGATTGCTCTGGCTGCATGTTGCAGGCATCTGATCTGCTCTGCCGCTGCCTCTGGTTCTGTATCTGCCTCTGCCTCTGCCTCTGCTGCTGCTGCTGCTGCTCCTTTATTGTTGGCTCCACAATTCTCGTGGGGCTGTTGAACTTCTCGCGCAGCACATCGATGCTGTGCGTGGGCGTGGCTGCGTGCGTCACTGAGGCACTATGCAGCGCCTCCTGCTCGGTGGGCGGCCAGCTGTGGTCGCGCTTGGGCAGCTGTCGCCGCGTGGACAGACGATTGATGCGCAGCACCGTCTCACGATCAATGACCACGTCGTGCTGATGGCTCAGGTACTGCGACTTGATCTGATCCAGCAGCTGCTGGTGCGGCGCATGATGCGGCGGCAGCGTCTCCTGACTGCCGTCACGCTGCCTGCTGCGACTTGGCCGTGGGCGAGCATAAAAGTCGCCTATGAAGCAATTTGGGCTTTAACTCGGAGCAAAGCAAAGCAAATTAAAGAACACCTAACGGAACACTTAACGGAACACATTACATTGTGGGCGTGGCAGTTGTTGTTGAATGTTGAAAAGGTTTTTAATTGTTCTTTGTTTGCTTGGACAAAGGCACACACACACACACACACATACTTAGACAGGCACACTTATAGCACCTACCGCATTTGATTTGTTGTTCCTCCTCCTCAACAGCGCGCAGAACAGCGGAGTTGGCCAGGTTCAGGGGTTTTGTGATTTGTTCATCGATTTCGATCCTAAAAAGTTAAATAAATAAAGTAAATTGTGATAAAATGTAAGCAAAGCTAGTAAAAGTAAATTCCAATTAGACAATATTTCTTCTTTTTGACCTTGTTAAGTAAAAGCATTTAAAAAGACCTTAAAAATTCGAAATAGTCCAATAAGAATATATTCTAATAAGATTTGTGTGCATGTACACAAAATTCCAGTTAGATTAAGCGAATTTTCGCTTATAGGCAAACAGCTTTGTTTGATAAGCCTGCGAGATAAGCAAAATAGTTCGTTTAAAGTTAACAAACAAAATAAACAGCCGCCAGCTGGTACTTAGCGCCCATATTTGATGGCTATAAGTGGCTCTCAAATCGTGTATATATATACAAATACAAATTATATATAAAATATTCATGTCAATTCTATAATTAGAAATATTGCTGTCATAACAGTTGTGGGGTGACTGCCTACTGTTTGAGAGTCACACAAAACACTGCTTGCTATTGTTTGCCATAGCATGTGCTTGCACTGCTTTGCAAGTTGTATACACAAATAACACAATTTTCCCGCGCTGTGAACCGCTTAACTGCACGATTAGACGAATCATTTCAACAAGACCGTGTGGCCTAATGGATAAGGCGTCGGACTTCGGATCCGAAGATTGCAGGTTCGAGTCCTGTCACGGTCGAAGACAGTTAACTTTTTTATTTATTTTTTGCATTTATTATTTTATTTTTGCTAATAGCGAATTTGGATTATGTCATTTTTTAGTATAAGCTGTTCTATTTATATATATTTTGCTTAAAACGCAGCGCATAAATTTATACAATTACCGAGCACACTCTGTCTGGTCTGCCTTACCCACCTATTGCTCCAGTATTTGTGACCTGCAACCCACATGGAGCCCTTGTGGCCAATGAAAAATAATCGAGATTGACAGGCGAGCGCCTACAGCCAGATATAAAAGCCCTTGCCACGGCGAGCAACTAAACCACATCTTGTGCAGCAGCTAAACAGGCACAACAATTTCCACTTTCGATCAAACTCAGGCACTGCAGAATGGCGAATAGGAAACAAGTGTTGTTGCTGGTGCCGTCAATGCTGGTGGTGGTGGTGCTGCTGCTGCCGATGCTACACGGCGCGGAGTCAGTGTCCAGGATTCAGGTGTGTGGTTCACGGCTAAGCGAAACCATCTACGCCGTCTGCCGTGGAAAGTTTGTGCCCATTCAGCAACGCAAACGCGGAACCTGTGAGTATATGTTGCAGTGTGGCAGCAGCAACTGTTGCTGGCACTGCTGCAGCTGATTGGCTTTGATTGGCCAAGCCGTGCAGGCAATTTACATTAACGCATTTCTGCATTGCAGTGGATCTCTTTGACTACGTCGACTCTCAAAAGGAGCCCAACGAGGACAACGATTTGGACACGCTTCAAGAACTGGGCGCAGGAGGACGTCACAGCTCCCTGATGGCGACCAGGCGCTTAAGGCGTGGCGTCGTCAATGAGTGTTGCCTCAAGCCGTGCTACTATAATGAAATGAAAAAGTATTGCGACTATTGAAGACTTCCGACACACGATGAATTCAGAAATCCACACCAAATCCTATTCTTATTATATTCCACGTATTTCTATTGAAGCAAATTAATAAAGACAAGTTGCAGAGCCTAAGAAGTGCTGAGTCTAGTAAATCTATATCTTATCTAACTGAGCAAACAGACGCCTGTGCACGATAACGAGCATTCACTGTCGCTCTAGCCATGCTTCACTGTAGCTGCTGGGCAGCTACTATGAGTCACACGCGCTACGGGGCAGCCAGATCACAAGAAGATGCATCACAACTTTTGGCTAGGCGCCTGCAATGTGTTTGTTGACATTGTTGTTGCTGTTGCTGCTGCTGCTGCTGCTGCGAGCTACCCCATTAATTTGTGCGTGTGACTCATCGATGGTTAGTGAATTGTTTAACAATTATATAAAAAAGTTAAGTATCTAACGGATGCCTGCCACATGATTAACATACATTGTGAAAGGCTGTTGCTGTAGCAGTTGCTGCTGCTGTAGCTGTTGCTGCTGGCAGCTAATGTTTTGATATAACTTTAGTGTGTTTGCACACGCGAACGCGCTTCACAGTATCTGCTCGAGGCTGTTTCAATTTTCACTTCAATTCAATTGCTTGAGATACTTTTCGGCTGTTGCACACACACGTTTTGTCGCACGCATAGACAACGTATAACTGAAAGGCTACTTAGCGCGTTTGGCGCTGTTTAGCTTAGGCCGGTTTGGTTCAACAACAATTGCTAACAACAATGCCAGAGATAATGTTGTAGTTGCTTCCCAATTTGGCGGCGACAGCAGCGGCAGCGGCAGCTACAAATTTCAAGTCCACAGCATCTTTGAGATACGCGCTGCTGCTGCTGTTGTTGTTGCTGCTGCTGCTGCTGCTGTTGCTACTTATGTATAGCATTTGGTAATTACAATTAAAAGTCAAGCGATTTTAATTGTGCGCTGTCTGTGTGTGTGTGTGTGTGTGTTACAAATTGAAAGCAACTGCAGCTACAAATCGCCAACAGTTGTCGCTGGCAGCGCTGCCGCTGCGCTGACGCTGCCGTCTCGCTGCACTGCACAAAGTGCGCCTCGCAGCTGCGCTATATCAGGCACTATATATAAATATATATTAATGTGATTCGTATATATATACGTATGATGTATGTGCAGACGTATATAGCCTCTACATTAATGTGTTTTCATGTGCACCTGTGCAGCAGCCTTAGATAGCAGATATAATAGCCACAGAGGCTGCCGCATGATGGCGGCTAACTCAGGTTGACTGGGGCGAACCCTTTGCTAGTTTAGCCTTTGCTTTTGCCTCTGCTTTTACGCTATTCTCCGCTACCCTTTCTTTCTGTTTTAAGGGCCGCTTTCTTTCATCTTTCACTTTGGCCCTGGCTCTATGAAATTATGCATTTAAATGTGTTAAGGGGAATTATTTCGTTTAACTTACCCGTCGGCCCCGAAGGCCTTCAGCTCGCGATTCAGCGTGGCCTTAACGTTCTCCTGGGAGTAGAGGCCCATTGGTGAATTGAATTGCTTGTGCACAAGTTTGCGTTGTATGGCGGCCATTTTGTACTTGTTGCTGTTGTTGTTGTGGCTGTTATACGCACTGTTGTTGTTGCTGCTGTGGCTGTTATACCGTTTGCCTTGTCTTCACTTGAGCTGCGCTTTTGCGTCTTCTTCTTCTTCTGCTTGCTTCTCAGCTTGTTTATGCACTCGGTAGCTTTTGCTTTTGGCTCTCAGCTCTTCTGCTTCTTCCCGCTGTTTGTTGTCCGGCTTGTCCTCGAAAAACTTTTAAATTATTGTTGATAAAAAATATTTTAAAATTTTACTTTAGCCAGAGACTTCGGCAGCTTATAGGCTTAACAATTGTTGTTGTTCGTTGAGGTTGTTGTTGCTGTTGTTGTTGTTGCGATTCTAAACAATTAGCCCCAGCTTGAATTATGCATATATGTATGTGCGTAGCTAATAAGTAGCTTAATTTAAATATCGTTAATCGTGTGGTTCGTTGTTTCGTTCTGTAATTAAAATGTCAAATGCAAAATTCGTTAGTTCAATAAATTGGTAATATATTACGCCAATCTCTACACATATATATTTATACATATCCCTCTTATATCCCTGATATATAGCTTATTATTTATGGCTGTCATACAGATGATTACATATATGCATATGTGTGCGTGAGCATGTCTATATACTCATATATGTATGTGTGTGTGTGCCTACAGACTCATTTCCGGCTCATCAAGTTCCGTTTTTACAGTTTTAAATATTCATATTCATGTCATCTGCCACGAATGAGTCCCCGTTGACAACTTAATCCGCCTGCTGCCCACCCTTATTACGCATATTACTTATTCCAGCAACATTTATTGTAGTATTTATGAAGGTCCCTCAAGAACCTCTTGATATTCTGCATACGATTTCATATGCATGCAAATCTTATAAGCCTTTTAATTGTTATTGCTGTTTGCACAGATTTCATTTATGATTCATTTTTAATTGAACTCTCGCGCTTGGCTCAAAATCTTTTTCAAGTCTCTTGCATATGTTTTATGTTTCCCCATAAAAAGAGCATTTAAATATGAATTCATTCAAGTGAAATTTACTATAGAATTCATTAACAGATATAGGCTATATATAGACCGCTAAAATATCTCTTTCTGTTATATATACTTCTTTAACTGTCGTAGGCAAGTAGAGCAAACGTATAACAGACAGCTGCACTGTTATAACTGTCTTTATATTTGAAGACTATTTGACCTACAACAGCTGCATTGTTAACAGTTTGCTGCACTGTTAAGTGTAGTACTGACTCTGTTATATGACTTCAGCACTTCTATTCAACTTAACTTAACAGTAGCACAATTGTATTAACATTTTAATGCAAATTCATTCAGGAAAAAGTTTGCATATAACTAAAAATCAAATATTAATAACTTTTATATAGAAATAAAATTTGTATATATATATGTATGTATATATGCGCATTCCAAATGTTGCCAATCAAAAGCAGCTGCTTCAATGTCAGCGCTCCACATAAAATAAATATATAACACAAACACATAGATAAGTCTCTCTCTCTCTCTATATGTATATAACACATAATTCCATTATAAAAATATTGCTACTGGAAACAGCATTAAGCACATTCAGCTATATTTTGCATATATATCAGATATATTAGATATATATATACAAATTTTTATGTGTTCTGCCTGTTGCTTCGCATTTTGGTTGTTTTTCTTCGTTTCGGCGACACAAATCTTTTGTAATTATAATTCTCATTATTTTCGGCTTGTTTTACAGCTGTTGCAAACAAATTACAAAATATTATGAATACTCGATTGTCGCGCTTTCCAATTCTTATATATAGATATAGATAGCTGTATATATATTTATAGAGGAAGATGGATCCACTCACTACTGTCACATTTCAAAATGTAGCTTCAACTAATTTTTGGGTTGCTGAAATATTATTATTTTTATATGTTAAATTCTGTTCAGTTTTATTTTTTGTCGTTTAAAAATAGATGCGACAACGTCTTAATATTGAGATATGCTCACTTTTTTGCTATGCTACAATAATATTTTTCACACGCACACAGGCGCACACACACATGCATACAGATGCCCCACAAAAATTCTCATTTTCTTTAATTCCAATTCTGCACTCTCTTTCGCTCTACTTCTCTCTCGCTCCCTCTCTCTGTCTCTTTCACTCCTGGGCAAATTCCCGCCTTGTGTGTCACCTCAAATAAAATTAGCAACTTTGAGCAAATGGCATTATACAGATTTGCGTCATTTCTGCTGTCTGTCCGTCTGCCTATTTGTCTATACGTCTCTTCCACTATTCATCTGTCTGTGTACTAGGTTTATGTGTGTATGCGTGTGTGTGTGTGTTGGCCAGCATGAGGAAATAGCAGTCTGTTAACGAACATAATTCCAATTCCAATTCTTGTTGTGTTCATTGCTGCACATCAAATTGTTGCAGCTCAAAGGAGAATGAAGAAAAAACGAAAGGCATAATGGAATGTGCACGTGTGTATGTGTTTTTGTGTGTAGTTAGAGCCAAATGACGCATAGGAGCTTGCGGAACTAGCAAACAAGTGAGAGTGACATATATTGGAATATCTAACATATTTGCTGTTTGCGCACTGGAATACAACAGTTCGTTGAAATCTTTAGCATAATTGCTGTGTATGTATAACAAATGTATAACAGATAAAGAATATTTGTGCAGTGTTTTTGTCTTACCTAACAGAATTGCTAATTTTGCTGGCAATGCTAAAATCGTGCAGTCCCACCTTCTCTCTGTTATATGGCTCTTGCAGTATAACACACGTATAACACTCACATGCAAGACTTGTTGCAACTGCCAGTTAATGTTAACTCAACAGCGTTTTCGCTCTATAGCTTTGGCAGTTCTAGCAAGTGTCAAACGTATAACAGTTCTGTTAACATTTCTTTCTGTTATACACGTATTCCAGTTATGCACACAGTCGAGCGTATAACATTTATATATATTTGAAAGCTGCTTGACCCACAGCAACTGCATTGCCAAGTTTCCTCTCTCTCTCTTTCCCCTCTCTCTTTCTCTGTTAGTTCGACATTAACACAATTGTGTTCAGACAGCATTTAATTATTTTTTCATGTGTTCCTGTTTATTAAATTGTAATTTCCCACATACTTGAAAGTAAAGCAATTTGTCTTATTAGATGCAATAAATTTCTTCTCTTCTGCTGCGCTTACACCTCATGTGCTCATTGAATCTAGAGCAAACAAAAAGTGGCAATAAAATTCGAAGCTATAATACTTCAAATTATGTGTGTGGGTGTGCGTGGGTGTAAGTATGTGTGTGTGTATGCTCCCGTTGATTTGCAATTTGTGCGTTTTAATTGAGCTGAATCGCAGCTGTGGCCTGCAGCCGCACGAAATGGCAACGGGGTTTGCCTACGTAGGCGTGGGCGCCGTAAAGCATGCAACACTTTTGCGTGCAGCACTTTGGGCCAACGGCTTCACGAAATTAATCAGAATTTAATAAAATATTATGAAAATGGCAAGCAGCAGCCGGAGAGGAGCGCCAGCAGCCACTACAATGCACTGCA